CGCCTATTGAGGGTTTGGGGCAGCGTATGACTCCGGGGGAATACCATGCCATCCTTAGGTACATGTTGTTGGTTCCTTTATTCGTGGAGGGGACAGTGTGTCCAGTTTGTCGTAGGACGCAGATGGATGCTTTTGGAGAGCATGCCATCCATTGTCAGAAGCAGCCGGGGTTCAAGTATAGGCACGACTTAGTGAGAGATGTCTTGTATGATATCCTCCAGAGAGTAGGGATCCCATCAAAGAAGGAAGCGTCGGTCAACTTCCTTACTCCTCCTGGAGAGACTAGATCTACTCTAAGGCCGGCAGACGTTCTTGTCTACAGTTGGAGCGGGGGGAAGCATGCTTGTGTTGATCTTACAGGGGTGTCTCCGTTGGTGGGGTTTGGTAATGGAGAGTTCAAGGTTGGGCATGCAGCGGATAGAGCGGCAGAGGCCAAGGTGGGCAAACATGATCAAGCTTGCAAGGACAACCACCACAGCTTCATCCCGTTCGCTTTCGACACGTTTGGTTTCCTTGCAGCTGATGCGGTGGAGTTCCTCAGGAGGGTTCAGAAATTCGCGAATAAGAATGTGGCGACAGCAGGGCCCGCTGAGTATGTGTTTCGTAGGTTAGGTTTTGTAATTCAGAAAAGATTAGCGGCGCAACTTGTTATCCGCTTGTCATCATCACATGTGTAATATTTTTATATTAGTTATAATATTGATAAAAAAAGAAAAATTGCAAAAAATAAGAAGATTTGCACCAGCCGGGAATCGAACCCGGGTCTGTACCGTGGCAGGGTACTATTCTACCACTAGACCACTGGTGCCACAACGACAACAAGACCTGAACCTTTTAACATGATGCATTAAAGTTGCCAATGATAACTTGTAAAAAGAAAGCAGGGTATATCATCGACATCCCTAGCATCATTAAGCATGGCTTGACACTGAGCTATTACGTGATAAAAATATTTCCTTGATATTTTAATATAACAACATCAACAAACAGAAGTGAGAACAATTTTTAAAAAAAAATTGACTAATAGCGTCAAAGGTGCAGAAAGAATGAAGGATTTAAGGTGAGGATAAACGCATTGCTCGCAAAGGCTCTATGTTAATTACTTTAACTGGCTTAATCAATTGACCCTAATTTATTGGCTCAGCTGGGAGCTTCAGAGCCTTAATTACTAACACCCAGTTTCTTGCTCCTTTTCCTCAAAAATAAAAATAAAAAAAAAGATCAACTGTCTTATGTTTCCAATGTTGTTCTAATTCAATTTACTGCATACTTGGAACAAGCAATCATTTTGATACAGGAACAAAACAACTAGGATGGACCACGGCTTAAGAGATGTCTCTAATCATTTTGATACTGTGTAAACTATCAACCACGTTTCTAAATTCTGACCCTTTATTATTTGGATCTACAAGTGTTGCAGGTTCGGCGGGGCTCCACAATGCTCATCAATGCATCTTCATGTTGAATCTAGACTGTGATCAAAATGTGTTACCTCGATGAACCCCCAGGTTTGAAAGAAGCTTTGTGATATTTGCGATCTCTAGTTGCCAAATATATTCATAGGCATCCATCAGCAAGATAGATATAGTTTACACAGTCTTCTTTGATGCGAGCTAATAAAACACAAGAATCTGAAGAACACAACGATTTTTTGAATGAATCAAAAAGAAAATCAGAGGGAAAGCATATGAACATTCTATTAACTTGGTTCGAGTAATACTATAAGGTACAAGCTTCAGGACAACTCTTCCATGTACTAAATAATAATTTTCCTAATGAACAAATGAAGTGGTAGAAGCAAGAATTAGGTCATTACTATTCCACCTTACATACTGTATGTTCTCAAGTAGACAATAAAAAATGATTAATGTTTTAATGTCAATATGAAATGTATAGATGTGATCCAAGAACCAGTGTTCATAGGCACTCAACCTGCAGGCTCTCCACGGCTATGATCCCCTTGGTACTGCTGAGGAAATCTGACATAAAGAAGGAAGATAAAGTGCAAAGACGACCAAAAAGAATTTTCTGGAAAAAATGAGGAAAAGAACTACATGAAGAGAGGCTAGAGGGGTACAAGGAGCTCGAGAAGTCACATTTCATGACGCACGAAAGCTCTGAGAAGACATTTGGACTAGTATAGAGTGCCCATCACGTACGTTGACAGTTATGTAGAAGATGGAGGCCACAGGTTTCCGATTTGGGATCCTCTACTCATGAATAGTATTCTAATATTTGCTAATACTCGATCTTGACCTTTCATTTTACATATGTGGGGCCCATTGGAAGGAATGGAGGGTGATGGAGGGGATGAATCTATTAGGAAACATTAGGAAACCCTATTCACGAGTAGAGAATCCGGATCCTAGGTTTCCACTTCCTGCTAATTCCATTTACTAACAAACTAGGAAACATATTTGGATAATTATTCTGTTACGCTAGGAGGAATGACAGAGCGGGGATTCTGGCCCAGTGACTATACATATGTAAATAACGCTGATGATAATTTAACATGCATGATAAGACAAAACTGCTTTCAACAAGGAGGGCTGGAATGTCCAAGGAATATCCAATGAACATCGTCAAAGAGCAGATCTCCATTATAACTGTTGATGTTAATAATCACACAGATGATGTACTAAAGGTGAGATTGAGTGGGAACCACTAACTTTTTCGAATATCCGGTTTTAGGGTTGGGCTGCTTCCTCCCTACACATGTAACAATTTGTACGAGGACGGGGACTAGTTCCCCTGTTGTTCCTCTGACGATCAAGTCAGTGATATATTTGAGTATGAAAGTGATGAACTGTGCGAATTCTCTAGCGAAGAAATTCTGAGAAATTACTTACCCTTGTATTTAGAATATTTTTTCTTTTTATAACCATGCAAGAGTAGTCTAGCCTTTTTGGCCGAGCCTGAGCTGACGGCTGAATCAGCGTTGACTTTACAGGTGTCGGTCGTAGAGCGGTCACAGGATGGGCGCTGTCACTTCGGCATTAATGAGATGGGATAAGCGGCGCACGAAGCCGGCGTGGTCCGATGTGTCATAAATAGTGCCATAAATCTTATAAGTTGAGCATTGACGATGCACTGGTACATGATAGCCTGAACAATCCTGCAACAGTAGAGGTTGGTGACAATGAGGAAGATGATATCGCGAAAGCAGGATCGGCATTGCAGCATCATCTTTTAGCAGTACACAAAGCATACACTATTCTTGATGTTTCTCGATATGCAGGACTGGGAAAAGTCGGCTTTGTTAAAGGAAAGTTGCGCGCGATCTATGGAGATGCCCAAATGTCATGTTTTGCAAGAAAAAAATAAGTGGTTTGGAGTTTCACTTTTGAAAGTAGAGAGATTTTTAAGATGGAGAGTAAGACATGAGGTAAGAGTAAGGCAAGAGGTAAGATATTTATGGATTAATGAGTTTGATAGTTGTAAGAGACGAAGAGGCCTTATTATTGACGAAGAGACTAAATGTGGTTCTCAAGAGGTCTCTTTTATGATTAACGCTATACATGAATATATTTAGATATGAGACTTAAAAAGGCACATATTATTACTTCATGTTATGTAAAGACGCATGTTAAATTAATATTGATTAACGCTAAATTAAATGTTATATAAAGAGATATGTCATAAGCTTCTGAAACTTTTGATGGATGTCGTCGAGTTTCATTAATAAGGATAATATTCTTTTATATCGAATAAATGTTAATATTTCAATTGTGGTAATATACTATAATATACAATAATATATAATAATATTATCTTAATATGTAACATATCTTACAGATAAATTTAGTACCTATAGCATTATATCTACATAACATTTATGTCTATTTTCTATAGTATTACACTGCAAATTATATTTTATCTATGTATATACATCTAGTATGAGAATAAATTAGTATTGGATTAGATTATTAGATTTTGCTCTAGTGAAAAAATAGCATTCATAAATATTAATTATTGAAGTTAATTAAATATTACATTTAATTGTAAAAATTTTAGTGAAAACAATGAAAGTTTTAAAACTGATATGTAATGACATATAAGGGTCTTTTGGTGATTATGAATGAAACTCGAATTGAAGGATATTTTCGGAAAATTTATTTTAAAATACTATTAGATTAGTTAGCTAGTTAGAGATAATTGTTATACTTAAGAAATATCAAAAAATACGAGGATAAAAGGGGAATTTAAAAGTTTTAACACCCCAATCCTCTTTTATATGTAGTATAGATAGATATAGATGAGCTTCTACCGAAGCGAAACGTATTTATAAGCAGAAAATGACATTATTCCGTGAGTGATACATTTATACGCTACTCGGCAAAACACCCACATATGTTACGCGTATATTCTTATACATTTACATTTTACGTGTATATCTTACGCTTATTTTTAGCTTATATCTTAAGCGTGTATTCTAACATGTATTCATATGTATATTATTGTATTTATAGCAAAAAAATCCCTGACATTTACCCCTCTTTCTAAGAAGACCTTAGTTTCCTATGTTTAACTACCCCCTAGGTTTTACCCCTCTTTTTAAGAAGCCCACACTTTTTTAAACAACAAAATTCCTATGTTAACAAGAAAACTTGCGGGCGGGGGATTCTAGAAAGAAAGGAATAAAAATTAGTTGTTCATTGCCTAATAAAAAGTTAAGGGCTTTTTAGAAAGGAGGTGTAAACATAGAGACTTCTTTGCAAAAAATAAAAAATTAGGATTCCCAATATATGTTCTTGGTCATCCACAAATCCTAACTCTACTCTAAAAAGAGACAGATAAAACTTTGACTCTTTAGACTACGTTCGGTCTGTCTGAAGCATCTTAAGTTATGAGCGTTTCTTAAATAACCTCTTAAATAACCCCTTCGCCCTTCTATTTTCAACAGTTTTAAAATTTCAACATTTTAAAAGTTAAGAGGTTTATCTAAAAAATTCCCAACCTCAAGGGGGTTTTAGTAAACTTAGCCATTCTAAAAAGTGCGAAAATCTAGTCCTCGCCGGTTTGGGCTTTGGACCAGTCCAGGATAAGCCTCGACCCACCGCGAGGGTGACCGCTACCGAAAGAGGGCGAAACCCAGAACCCTCGCTCTTGAGTCCAAATGCAGGCCCTGCTACTGCCGTCGTCGTCGCCGCTGCAGGCCGACGCGGTTCGCTGCAGCGGAGCTCCGCCTCGCTCTCGTTATCCGCGAACCCTAACCCTACCCTTCCCTCAAAAACCCCCTTCTCTGCTCCCAAGATCTCCCCTTCAATCTTCTCCCTTCTCATTCGGCGGAGAAATCTCGAGAATCGCGGAGAACCGCAGGAGGAGTGATGGAGTCGTTGCCTCGGCAGCTTCTGCTGGCTTCGCCTCGCCGAGCGATGAGTCTGACAAGGAGAAGCTCGCGCAGGTGTGGGATTTTCTTTCTCCATTTCTTGTTTTTTCGGTTAAATTTGGAGCTTTTGGTTGTCTGATACCTGTTTGCTGAAATGCCGCGATGAATATTTTTATGTGTTGTCTGATTTCACAGCGCTTGTCTTTTTGACAATCATTGTAGTCTAAACTAAAGCTCCTTAGTCCCAGTGTTTAACATAATTCACCCTATTTCCGTTGAATTTCGGTGTTTATCAATGCGTGCTGAATTTTCCAGTTGTATCGATCAACAGGCGGTCGAAGAATTAAAAGGAGGGCACCAATGAGTAATTGGTTCAGGGAGATATTTATATGTTTTCTTCTAGTATTTGGCATTTGAACATAGTCAATTACTTTTGATCATATAACGGAATTACAATTGCGTTCGTGTTTATGTTTGAATAAGTGTCAGACCGGGGCTTACTTCAGTGAAAGTTTCAATTATCATAATCATAATCTTTGAGGCTACATGTTTTGAATGGGTATATATGTATTTTCTCTGTCAGGATGTGCACGCTCAATACATGCTTGAGTATCAAAATGGCCCTGATGATCTGATCGAGCCTACTCCCGTTTTACCAAGTATTATTGTAGGTATCGTACTGAGTACTACTCAAAATGATTTACCTTGTACTCATACCACAATCCAAAGCAAACAGGGAATCTGGTCAGACTGATCCTTACTATTTCGACCTTGTCAGGGCAAGCACAAACTACTTGAGACTGAAGGCCTTATCCTAATAGATCAATGATTTGGAACCTTTGGATACTCCAGTCAGTCTTAGTATTTGTAACATTGAGGTACATCGTGCTTCGATGAAGAGGCCAGAGTTAGCATCTATTCTTATGTGAAATAATGGATGTCATAAATGTGTTGACAAGATAAAGTTATTTTTGAAGGAAGGTGCAGTGGTTGCATGTAAAAGATTCATAAAATTAGCCACCCTCCATTTCTTTCATAAGTCCCAGTTATCTGAGTATGACGACTTGCAATGCGTAGGGAATTCATGGAGTTACGTTGACTATGTTATGCAAGTGAGACTCCCTCTTGAACATGTTATGGCTATAATGATCTATGTTTGAGATTTAGGATTTTTGATAATGCAAAACATTTCTACAATTTTTTTTCTCTCGTTAAATATACGATAGTGATTATTAAATGATGCTTTATTTATCTCACTTGCCTACTCACCTTCTATTGCAGCACACAAAGCCTTGTAGGATTTTTTCCCCCTTTTATGTAAGGTTAAGTAAGTGAAAGTTTTCCTTGCTTGAAGATTCAGTGCGAGGTCCTTTAGGATGCTACATTGTGGTCATTATGATTGGTCCAATAAAAAAAATTCTAGGTCTGTTGGAGTTCAAAACATAACTTCGCTTATCAGTTCACTTTTCTGTGGACACTTCTATAAAACTAACCATGCAAGTTTCTCACTTTTATTGGTTATGATGATTTCATGGTGTATCTGCAGAATGAAATATCTTTGTACACTTACAGACAGTTGTTACTTTTAACATGATTAAATGACATGATATTTTTCATATCTTTGATGTACATGCTAAATTAACCTTTAGATGGCTTTTGGTTGCATGAGCAGGTGGCGAAGAGATTAGAGAGTACCTCTAGATCCTTTAAGCGGTTGGGTAGTCTAGGATTCTGGGGACAGCTAGTGTGTACCATTGTGGCTGCCGTCATTCTATCATTCTCTGTTGTTATTACGGGGAAGATCACATCACCAGCAACATTCTATGCCACTGCTGGTGGCATTGCTGCAGCGTTTGTATCTACCTTTTGGTCCTTTGGCTATATCCGTCTATCAGAGAGGCTCCGAAGAACAGCTAATGATCCTGCAAAGGTATTTTATTTTCACGCTTCCTCCTTTTGTGCTGCTACATTAAATTGTTTTGTTAAACAAATCGGTTTGTTATAGATTTATTTGCATCTTCCTTTTTCCTGTCCTTGACATTGAGCGGGAGTTTTTCTTTATGGAAATGCTGATGTTTGTATTCATTAAGACTGCTGATATCTTTACTGTGAGTTTGCTATCCATGACAGCTTGCCAGTCTTTTGCATACAAGAGCCATAAAGATGCATGTTTTCTTTCAGTAGCTAACTTAAACAAGACAAGGCTCCTACATAGTAACCGAACCCAGAAGAAAAATGTTAACTTGACTGTATACCTTTCCTTTCTTCTTACATATATTTCTCTCTGTTACAATGCAATTACTTGTCATAGAATGCAGTGCTTTCATGTTAGTCATATTTCTGAAGGTATGTATTGTTGGTGAACATAACTACCTCCTGAAAGTATTTATGTAATTGCCGCATGATATATTGATCACCTTTATAATTTGCTTGGAATCTTCTTTTTTTAAACTGTCATCTTTTGTGTGAATCTCATGTATATACGGATGTATGTTTTCCAGGCTCCTCCACGTGCTGAAGTTGTTAAAAGTTTGAAAAATGGGATAGTGTTAAATGTTCTTGGGATGGGTGCTGCAATCCTTGGCATGCAAGCAACCGTTGGATTATTGGTTGCAAAAGCACTTACTACCTCAGCAGTTCCATATTACCAGGGGATACCTCCTGGTCAGAGTCCTGTTTTAGCTCTAGATGTGTTCTTGGTCCAGGTACATGCATAGTTTTTTCTTGTATATCAAATAAATAATTAAATAATCTTTCAAGCTTGTTTCTATTTTCAGTTTGATAGCAAGTAAAACAATTGTTATGTCATTCCTTAGAGCAAGCTGGTTTATCACCTTTACAAAACAAATTTGTGGATATGAATACATTGATCATGGTCACTTCTCAACCGCTTGGCGTAGAATGAATACGTTATTTTCGTTCAGTAACTAGAGGGAGCATTACCAAATTGTGAAGATCACACATACATGCAGAGGAAAACCAGAAAACCCTCAACATTATCTTTTTCCTAGACTGATGCTTGGATGACTTCAGTTATTTGCTGGAATTAGGGAATCCATCACAGAGTTATATGCTAAGCTTAATAAGAGCCTGAAGGCTGAGGCAAGTGTAATGTATGGCCAGATAAGATACTTGGGGCTAATCTTTTTGAGTTATTATATATGAGTAAGAGTTATGTTTTAATTTAATTATTTGTTCCATAAGTTTGGTTTGAACTATTTAAGTTTTAACAAATGCGTCTTGGGTGTGTTTTAGAACCCTACAGTTTCCAATTCAGTCAGTCAACGAAGGATAAGCCTCATTGAGGGGTCATTTGGAATCTAGAAGAGAAGGAACTACAGTCACGTCAGATGCTTAAAAAAACATGGGCAATACCATCAAGTAGGCGTATAAAGTGCACAATGGGAAAGAGATACCTTCTTATTTTGCTTCATAGCGAAGACAAAATAGCAAGCATGCTACTAATACAAAAATTCTATTATTTCATGATCTATTACATTCATTAGCTTTTTGTGCAACTAATTTTAAAATACAAGGGTATTGATAGCTGAACACGTACTAGAGGAATAATAGTGTGCATATTTTTCATCATATTCACAAATCACTTACCCAAAGGTTAAGCTGTTAGGTTTTGGACTTACTATATAAAACAAGTGATCTTGGCATGGGCACCACCTTAACAATCTTAATAGAAGCTGTGGGTCATTAGTAGGATTTAGTTTTAGCAATAACAACAGCCATCAAAGAAATATGAATCGGACAGAAAATTATATAGCAATGACACAATTTGAAATACAAACATCATGTAAGCTCATGATTTTGAGAGGAAATGTGGAGGAGGTACTGTTTATGTAAATTTCTATCATGGTGCTCATGTGATAGTAACCACACAATGGAATTATATTTTATTAGACAGAAGCATATCTTTGAGTTCTAGTATCTCTGTGAATGGTCCCTGCAAGTTGTCACAGGATCTGGAAGAAGCTAAATAGAAATACTGGCTAGCTTTTGCAATTGAAGAGTTTTGATTTTATATCCGCTATTCTGAATCTCTGGTAGAGGATATCTGGTCCAACCTGAAAGTCAAAGCTCAAAACAAAATAAACCAAAAGCTGTCTATTCACCCAATAATATCCTTTCTATACCAGAACATCTTTTTTGGTGATTTCATACTTCCATTCCTGGCCATCAAGAGGTTGTTCTGTAGGTGTGGCTACAGCTCTAAACGAATGCTTAAAACGTCAATCATGGTGAAAGTAGATTCTTCTATACGTGAAGCAAGCACTAAATGATACTGTCAGATGTCTAATAATTTATTAAATACTTAGGGGTCACGTTATTAGCATTTTTTTAAAGTTAAATAAAAAGGAAATTATCTGCAGGCTGCTAGTTCCATATTTATAACCACATGCCTGATACTCCTTGAATGAAACACGTCTTGTACATTTATTTTTTGTGATCTGCATCTCTATTACCTTGAGTCTTGACAATTACTTGTTTTTGAAAAGTATCAACTCATTTTTTAGAGAAGAAAATCGATGCTTGCAAATCTTAATTTATGCTATAATAATAATAGTATAAATTATATTGAAGATTTATCAATGACTACTTCATGATCTTCAAAACATGTTACATCTGATTTTCCCAAACCATTTTGCTTCGAGTTTCCTGTGTTGCCTTGGTGACAACAGATTGTCGGTTTTGCAGGCCTCAGCCAACACTATCCTCTCACATTTCTTGGGGCTTGTTTTCTCTCTGGAACTTCTTCGGTCGGTCACACTACCGAACGTGCAGGGTGTTCCTATTCCCAAAGCAGCATAGCCCCATTCAATTCTACCATTGCGTTGTGTTTCAAGTTTCTTGAGTTTGTTTGTTTTCTTCTTTGTTCAATGTAAGAAATAAGAGTTTTGAGAATTAAGAGGATCCATGAACATTATATGTATGTGACAGTTGTGTGAGTTCTTTCAGCCAGGAAGGGAATAGGTGTGTGCGGTATCGCTAAAATTGCTTCTCCCCTGCTATCCTAATTTCTTTGGGGGAAACCAAATAGGGTTTTCAGAGGTTTTCTTTGTCGTTTGGGGGAGAGTGTAGAGTCTATAGACTTTTGACAGCAAAATTTACTGTCATGGCAGTCAGTTACTGTGTACAGGAAACTCGGATACAGCCATTTCTGGGAGTATTCAAGCAACCATTTAGTCTAAAACAGTGGTCTCTATTTCAATAGAATATCCCAATAATTTTTTTATTTTTTTATTTTTTTATTTTTTTATTTTCACTTCTTTATTTTTTTATTTTCTTGTATTCTCATGTGAAAGGACAATTTTTTAAAATAGATCCTATTAGAATTTTATTTGTAAAAATCGACCCATTTGCAATTTATTCACCATTTTCGATCTGGTTTCAGCTAACTTGCTGAAACTGGATCGAAAATAATGAATAAAACTTCACGGGATTTTAAATTCCGTGAAACTTAGTACCTAATTGCCCAGTCTAATTGTGATTATGTTCGGTAATTTAGCGACTAAACTGCACGGGATTCTAAGTCTCATGAAGTTTTCGAGATTTATTTATCATTTTCGACCTAGTTTCAGCTAAATAAACCTTCAATATAATTTAGTGAAACTGAGTCGAAAATTGTAATTAAATCTCAAATGTGTTAATTTTTACAAATAAAGTTCTAATAGAGTCTGTTTTGAAAATTTGTCCTAGAGGTGGGCAAAAACCGAAAAAAACCGGTTCAACCGAAAAAACCGTCCGAAAAAACGGACCGTTTAACCGAACCGAATTAAATGGATGAGAAGAAGTCTCTAAACCGCCTGAACCGAATTAAATCGGTTTGGATCCGGTTTGAACCCCTGAACCGCCCAAAAAAAACCGATCCGAATTCTGTTGGGCGGTTTAGAGACTAAACTTATACCTCAAAACTTTTCCTGTTATCATCCAATAGATTCAAACGGCGCAATGAGCAGTTTCAAGCAATGAGTACAACAATATCAAAGAAAAATATCCTTGAGAACTAAGTAAAGATTCAAATCAATCCAGAAAATTTGTTATGCACATAATGCACTTACAAAAGATGCATATGCTACATTATATGAACAATATCATACAAAACATCACTCCCCCGTGTAATTAAATAAACTTAAACTTTAGTTAAAAAATTTCACAGAAAAGATCTTGAGAATTACATAAGATTCAAATCAATCACAAAATGTGTTATGTACATGATACTTACAAGAGATAAGCATGCTGTATTATATGAACAACATCTTTAAAACATCAGTTCTCTGCGTAATTATATCAACTCAAAACTTTATTCTAAAGATGATAACCAGTCTAATAAAGCTTTGTTGGCGAGCTCAGGAACCTCATCATGAGGACAATGCCCAGCTTGCAAATTCACAACATTAGTCTTTGGATAGAACTCTTTGCAAATTCAAAACCGAAACCGAACCGAATTTCGGTTGGGCCGAATATTCGGATGAAGGGGAAAAAATCTGGATCTGGATGAGAGTTTTGAGAATCCGAAAAATTCGGATTGGATGCGGATTGGGCATAAAACCGAACCGAACCGAATACCGATGTGGAATGCACACGCCATCTCCAAGCTGCACAGGTGTTTTGAAGTAAGTTTATCTTTGTTGACCTTGATCGGTGAGATATTTTTGAAATGAACAAATTTTCAAATCAGACCCATTTCAATTTTTTTTTATTTAAACCGACACATTTTTTTTATCAAAACCGACCCGATTTTGTAATTAGCAGCTTAATCACCATCCTAAACAGTCGGGGTTGCCAACCCCGACTATTTAGGAAGGTGTTAAACCCTAAAAATTAATGTCCTAAATAGTCGGGGTTGTCAACCCCGACTGTTTAGGAAGGTGATTAAGTAGCTAATTATAAAATCGGGTCGGTTTTGGTAAATAAAAAAAAAAGGGTCAATTTAAAAAAAAAATGGAAATGGGTCTGTTTTGAAAAATTCTTCTTTTGAAATCTTTCTTCTAGGATTCCAATCTAATACAATATGAAGTGCAGATCGATGCAGCCATAGGCCAGCATCGTACAATTGTACTATAAGTAGAGTGTATCTTCATGTAGGTTTGTGCATGTTCATGCGTTGGTGCGAGACAGTAATAAGGCCGTTTTGATTCTTATCATATCCGGTGCCAGACTCATGGATTTCTGGTTGCTTGCTAACTTGTAATATTTCGCATTTTCGGTATCACATGGATTTAACGATGTTGTTGTACCTTCATTCACACTCACCAAGTTTCTTGCCGGTGAATGAAAGGATCGTTCTCGTCTTCAGTCCAGTTGAATGATCCACGCGACCTGAATTTAAAATTAAAACACTCAATTGTATACACACGAGGAATTTTCTCCTCTTATCCCTCCTAAACCTCAAAAACTTGCTCATTTAGTTCACTAACGTTTTGATGGAGGAAAACACACGTGGTCAGGATTTCTCCTCGAACACAAACCAAGACCGCCAAAAAGATTTGTTGTTGTAGACGACAAGGCAAAAAATCGGGAGTGCCAAGGCGAAAATTGACGAAGGGAGAGGCTGCTTCCATCTGATGTGCTTACTGAAAAGATGAGAAAAACAAGCCCACAAACTTTTACACACGAGAGAATACTACGACAGCCCTCAACCTCATCGTAGTCGATGTTCAAGGGATAACCCCACGCAAAGACCATCACGTGTAACTACATATACTCTGTAAGTTACATGGCACCAGTAGTCGGAGACGTTCCCATTCAAGATAGCAAAACCATCGTTACGAAAAAGAGAGGACGAAAGGAACCATCAATATGGAAGTGAGAAACCAAGTGGAGACCGGTTAACAGTTTGTACAAAATAACATCAAAGATTCAATGAAGATTGACAAAGATAATGTTTCAATCGAAAGATGATACAACAATACATTCAGCTGGCTATTAAACCAGAACCACCACAAATTGACCTTACGAGAAATTCGAGTAGAAATCGAAAATAACAACAACGATTTGTTAACACAAACATACCAGAATATGAAACCTCGTCATGCAAAAAGTACTCTTTTGATACAAGATGGTTACCGTCAATGATATTGAATACTTTGCACTAATTTTTCTAATAAAGATTTAGCACTGCAGGATGAAATTGGTGAACAGAACAATATTAACAAGGGGCTGGCAACTCGAATACTCTTCTGTGGACCAGTCAACGCCTAACGCATGATGAAACAGTGTTTCCATAGCAATTTTCACATCACAGCTCTACTTGTAGTTGAAGCATCAAATAAATGATACATCCCTGAGTAAATCAAAGAAGTGTTGTCAGTCTTACAAAACCTTGGTGCGACCAAAGTGAAATGATAAAAAGACCAATAGTTCTTGCAAGTTATTATCAGTTCAAAAGTTGAATTTGCCCATGCACAACAGATAACAAGTAAAACAAAATTGGTCAAAACACATTAAAGCCAAGTTTCCTCCATTTGGTCAACAGTTCCCCCTAAGACAGTCTCATTTAGGCAACTAAAAGATGCCGAAACATAAAAGTTTTTTTCAGAGGCTTTTATAACTCCTGCTAGTGTCTATATTTTTTGGTCCCCAGAATTCTCTCTCAGCGGCTCAGCCTACATGAAGCTTGGTTTTTGATTCAATAAGATGTTATCCTTTTAACATGTCTCAATGCAAGTAACAGGATCCACCACGATAGTCAGTGAGGACTTTATTCAGACCCACCGGTAAACAAAGCCTTTACCGTATTTGTGGTGGACATGCTCAGGCAGCTTATCTGTGTGCAACCTATACCGTAAAAGTTTCATATCCAACATGAGATGCACAAAGTGTTGATGCCAAAAAGTTATAATATTATTACATCTGGATTTTGCTTAAACCCAGCCAAACAGATGTATCCATGTTACTAATAGCAAGTTATACATGTCTTTTGACCAAAAAGGCCAAAGCAAACCATTAGTTTGGAGCAGTTAATGTCTCCACTAAATGTCAAATGTATTCATATGCTCTGAAAGTCAACTATGTTAGTGTATTCTCAACGTGGGAAGCTTATGGATTTTATGCGTATTAAAGAAATACAAATTCTCAGAATTAGTCTAATCTATAAATACTGCATCCGGTAAAGTAGACCCAGCACTTATCCAGAAAAGCACAAGGGTATAATTTGCTCATATTGTTGCATAAATCAACTTTTAAGGCCAGAGAAGACTATTCTGAATCGAGAAATAATTGTCCATCTACCCTCACATATTTTAATGGACACGTGTAATGGTTACAAATATCATACTTGGATACATGTAGCATACTTGGATAAACATTGCATACACCTAAGATATTTAATATTCCAAACAGTGTTCTGTGGTATGGTATGGAACAATACGTTATATGCTAGTGCATATGGGCATAGATCACATATGCACCGCATAGCAGTCACTTATGCAGTGTACATAATTAAAAAGGGAAAGACCAAAAATACTTTAATAAACAAATAGAAGACTTAAGCACTTGCAAAATGTGTGCAAATCAAATGAGAAGAGCCAGAGGTGACCACTTAAATCAAAGTAAACAATACTAATTACTCAAGTTAACTAAAGAACAAACATTAGTTGACAATTACCTTACCTAGCAAGTACAATGTAAGAAAAGCATTTGTAGTAAGAACTAAGGAAATAAAAACCAAACGTAACTTCCAGTGTTATCAAAGGCATGCACTTCACTGGCCCTCATGCGCCCTATGACGCGGGGCAGTGGGAAAGCGCCCTGCATATGATGTGGCAATGGCTTTTTGTGCCTTGCAAGCGAGAGCTCTTCATGCAGGGCGCCTGCAAGACATAACCTTGTATATCTTTTGTTCTTTAGCATTTCAATCGGCCAATGATAATCCATATCCCAAAAAACAAAATAAACACATTAAGCCTTTTAGTAACCCGCTAGAGGACCCTAAATGATCCTCGTTTACTATTTGATTTTGCTTCGATATTAGAGATTTGACTTTTAATTTGGAAAAAAATATGATTTTTGCTACCATGTTTGATGTGTTGACATTATGAATTAAGACCTTATTTTGTGACTTGGTAGTAGATATAATTTATCTTAACGTATTTAATGTAAAAATTCATAAACATGTTCTTTCATGCTTAATACTATCTCGAAGAACTATGTGTGCAGTGTGCGCCTCACTTCCCTCAAGCACGCACATCACATTGCACCTTGCGCATGTGCACATGAATGGACTTTGCGCGCTGCATTGCGCCTCACGCTTAGATAACACTAGTAACTTTAGTGTTAAGTTATCAAGCATTCAAATGGTGAAACTACCATTGACTTAGCAGGAATTTTAACTGAGAAGTTTCCAAAGGGATACAATAAAGAAAAGGAAAAGTGGAGGAGAAAAATACAATGAGGAAAGGAAGCATTAGTGTGTAGCAGTCTTTAAGTTGAAAGGTCGGGTATCGGCTTAAATTTTAGACCCACCTCACCCACATATGCAGGCACATAAGAATTATGCATCTTGATAATTATTTTATGTGATGAGTACTATTCTTCTGCTGCATTTTGGCCGAATGTGGGTATGAGAAAGAGATTACAAACACATGGCTGGTCACATAAAGCGCTCACTTGAAGATTGATCCTAAAATTCAAAAAGGATTTTAAATGTATCAAGCCATATCAGAAATGCAACATGGCCAAGAAGTTAAAAGAGGTAGAATTTATGAATGACAAGTTCTAGGTTCTATCTGATTGCAGATGCATTGCATTGTATAACTCGTGCAATTCCTCAATAAGGATTATTAATAAGAAATAATATTATTCGGGCAATCGTTGATTAATATAAACTGGAAAAGTGCAACAATATCTAAGAATTTTTCTGCATTAATATTTCTGGCCTCACAGATAATGAATGTTACTACACATTCACACACAAACACACCATGTATATTTTATTTTTGTTATATCCACAACCTATCACTATCCTTAACTTCAAGGATTTGTTGTATCCATATATCCACATTGTTTTGTACTGTATCGTGGCTTTGCATTGTAGTTTTGTGTTTATATCTTTTAGATATTATTTTGAACCCTAAAATTATTAAGCAGTTGAAACCTTTTTCTCAGTTAGATTGGGACTTGCATAGAAGGCTTCACACCTTACTTTTGCAATCAAGCTTTATGCTAACTAGATAATCAACAGAACTATGGTTTCTTCTTTGTGCTTCTCATATAAGTACTGACCCTATTTGCTCTAGCTTGGTACCTGTTTGCTCAGTGGATTTGAAATCATTGATGCATTTATTCTCTGTAAGCTTGTTTATAACAAGCTCTGCTGATTGTAGACGTACCACTACATTCATCTTCCTTTTCTATGATTCCTTTGAAACCCACTTCCCCTGACATCTTCCTTGTAGCTATGCGTTTAGAGTACAATTACATACTTTTATCTGTCTCGAGCTTTCAGAAGGTAGAAACCCACTTCTGCTATATATATTATTTTGTCTCCAAATTCTTAATAAAACAACTGATCCATCCCTTTTGACAATTAAAAAAATGACAACAATGATAAGCTTGTTGGATCACATCATTTAGGAAAATAATCAAATTCATTTACCCAATTTGAGATTTTTTTTCTATAATTCAACGGCCCTAGCTTGAACCCGAATATATGGCCTAATCTAGCAAGCCTGATATTGAAACTGGCTCACCTGCAATCCCAAGCATCACTGCAAAAGCTCCATGTAAAAGAGCACATGTTTCTATATCCACATATACATGCTCAGGCTGAAGTCATGAAACCAAACCTATTGCACACAAGTGCAGAAGATGATCTTTACATTGAACAGGCTTCAACATGCTGGTGATCCCCCCTGCATAGGGGGACTAGAACATCTACAAAGTAGGGGATGAAGTTAAATACCCTAAACCCCAACGTTCGTATAGATCGCTTCTCAAGGAAGAAATTATAGTTACAGTCCCTTTCTCATGGAGAGGTGAGGTGGACAAATATCCTAGACATATCAAGTCACAACATAATGAAGTCCTAGGTTGAACAATTCAAGATCTCTGCTTTCACTTTGTCAAAAGCTGAAAGCATTTATACTAGGGAGTAGGGATACAACCTGAGGAAATTTTCCAATTCTAATTGAGATGAAACTTCCCTAGATCATGAACTTGAAACTTTATAGTTGAGTCCTCCATCTAACAAATCTTCAAGATTCACAAGAATCAACATCATAGTTTGATTGAAAATGCATAAAGAAGTCGTCTAGAAAAAATTATCTATTTGACGAATAATTCTAGACTTTCAGTGCCAGTTAACAACAAGTACCCAACATTATCATATATTAGTTACATAACTATGATCAATAAACCACAGTACAGCTTATGGGTAGACTATAAGCAGAATAAAAAAACCAGATTAAGGATAAAAACGATATCCTTCTGCCAACATCCAAGCAATTCACAAGGCACTGAAATCAATAGAAAATGTGAAACATATTAAAAATACTGTTATGAAACAATAAAAACGAGGTTGTCTCGTCGCTGAACATAACATTTACCACAAGTATTTACAAGACTAGATTTCGAGAAACAGATCACTAAGGCTGTCTAGTGATGGCAACAAAGCCATTCTAGAACCCAATCACAACTATGTTAACCAAGTGGATGTGAAAAGGCTCATGCATATTGCTAACCCATGTTTAATTAGTTGTTGTGACTGCACAACTTCTGTTTTTACTATGTTCTTTCTTCATTTGCATGAACTTTCAACACCAAGAGGAGCTTAGATGGATACTTTAATACAAAAACCGAGCTCAGATCTTCATTACACTGAGGTGCAAGAAGAAAATTTCCCCCCTAAATTGGAATTGGTAGGATTTTCCACCGTTACATCCCAAGTACCATATTTTGATGCCTTCGACTATTAGCTACTTTGGACTTAAGTAAATACTAGCTTGAGTATGGATATGCATAATTATAGAGGACTAGCTGAAAATAATTATTTGTAAGTATTTGGATTTTCTGGAAGGCATCATATTTGACCTGGAATCTTGGTCTGTGATTCTGTACATGCTCAAGGTCCTAACAATCTAATAACCTTTTCCTAAGTATCGCAAGCTCCCAATGTGCACTCTATTCCCAAAGGTTCCAACAATAGATCACAAGTAAAAGGATAGTTCATACAGGGAATACGAGAGGTCTCTCTCTTTTTCCCATATCTTTACTTTCGCACTGAAATTTGCAAAACTCCACGAGGCGACCACACTGTTTTCATAAAGAAAAATGACAGGAAGTTCAGAAGCACCAAGGAAAGTCAACTTGTAAAAAAAGTGTTGGAGAAGGTTGGACATGCAGAAAAGAAGCTGACTACCGCATTTTTGGGAGTGTACGATCACAGACCACAGTTGGAAGGCACAGGTTGGACTGTCCTTACACCAAAATAGTCTTTGCTGAAGTAGTAAGAAAGAATGTCATGTTTGTTAATTTAACTGATGAGGCAGACTTTTAAATAATGTGTCCAGATAAGGGAGAGAAGACTTCCTCAGAACCGTGTCTTCTATAATCATCTCATAGTTCTAACTGAATCTAATTGTTAAAGCTTCTTCAATAATTCTGTAAATTGGCCTATGCTCAAATGGAGATAACAACAAGATAACACTTGCTCATCCATAAGAACCTGCAATCAAGAAAAGAAATTTCTCCAAGAAAATGAAGATCTTTCAATTTACAAAGTTATTTTCTGCATGATGCTGACAATACGTTTCAACGAGAAATAAAATACAATCATATGCAACTAACTCACTTGCAAGGCAAAACATGGAATACAAATCAAGTTAATGAACTCGGCCTGGAAATGTAGGAAATGTAGACACAAGTATCGTGTAGAGGACCTTAAAGTTCATGTCCCCAGTAATGGAGCTAACTAAAGACTAAGTAACGTAACTTACATCACCGTTAAAAGATAGCAAAAAAACGCTGATCTTTTTTCTTTTCTTTTTCTTTTTCATAATTCCAAACTAATTCTTTAGAGAATCACTTAGGTTACATGTAAATGAAATTACAATCTTTAAAAAGATGACAGTGCCATAAAGTAAAAATATCATTATGAAGGGAGTTACTGAGGGACTACCATCTTTCTATTGGGCCTTCTTGTTTGCTTGACTACTGCTTCTGCTCAGAGCATTGTTGTAGTGCTTCAAAAGCACCTTGTGTGCCATGCCAAGCTTCTCATCAACACGATCCTGGTACTTCTCGTACAATACAGGAACAGTAAGTGCGAGAACAATCCCTAAAAAGGCATGAAAACAATGAGCTACTAGAAACTGCATGAAAACTTTAATACAGGAAAACCTTGTGGCTTCGTTTTATTTCAAAAGAAAGTGTTTTTCTTTTGGAACTTTAATTAGGTCAGTCAAACAATGGATAAATTATTAGAACTCACCCATGTAAATAAGAGTGAAGATACTAAACAAACTTCCAATGTACGAAACGATCCACAGTCCCACGATGACCTAAATTAAACCAAACATCAACATAATTAGGTCAAGAAATCATCCATTTCCATAAATTAATTAATTAAAAAAAGAGCTTAATCACACCTGCAGGAAAACCTTTCGATCCCTCCCAACTCCAATATCTCTCGCCACGGACAACACCCGATTAATCCAAACCCTAACTCTCTCCGTCGCCTTCTCTACAACCTCATTCGAAATCTCCAGATTCGGAATCGGAGGAAGAGGTCTACAAATACAAACTTCCGTCAACAATCAAAGACTAAACTTAAACCCTATCAAAAAAAAAAAAAAAAAACAATTAACCTATTGAGAAGAGTGGCAGATTTCGCCCAAAAGAAAATAATCGAGACGAGGAGGAGCAGAGTGTTGGCGACCAGAGAGACGACGCTCTGTTAACCAACGAGTGAGTAGGATCCGAAGCAGTGGACCCACCCGTACCGAAATCGAAACGTTTCGGTTCCTCCATAGCAACACAATCGGCCACTGTGAGCATCGACGAAGAGAGGGAAAAGAGAGGCGATCAGATGAAAGCCCATGAGAGAAGAGAGGGAGGGAGGAGAGAGGAGATTACCAAATCCACCGCGAGAGTTCGCCGGCATGAGACGGCTTGGCGGGCGGCGGCGAAGACGAAATCGGTCAAAAACTTCCGCCTCAGCGGCAGGCCCGCGCCGGCCAGCATGGATGTCTAGGAGGCGAGAATAATGTGGAAGAATATAATGTGAGAATTCTAATGAGAAGATTCCTGCTAAAGGGTATATTTTTGAGATTTTTTATAATCGCTGGTGGTTGGGTACCAGCGTGGACAAATTATCAAAACCAACCCTTTTCATGATTTAATTGTTAAAAACGATCCGTTTCTGTTTTATTTAGAGAAACCGACCTGGTTTCAGCACTGTCGCTGAAACCAGGTCGGTTTTTGAAAAAAACTTTACGAAACTTCACGGGAGTTCAACTCCCGTGAAGTTTTTTCTCATAACAAAACTTCACGGGAGTTGAACTCCCGTGAAGTTTGGAAAATTTTTTTTCAAAAACCGACCCAGTTTCAACCAACTGGATCAGTTTTTATAAATAAAATAAAAACGGATCGTTTTTTGCAATTAAATCATGAAATGGGTCGGTTTTAAAAATTTGTCCGTACCAGCGTAGATGGGATCATGAGACCTCAGACGGCAGATACTAAAATAAGTAGCACGTGAACTGCATAAATTGCAGAAAACACCCTGTGTTATTAAAATTTGGCGGTTAATAAATTATCGCCGACTTCACGTCTTCATCCGTGTTCTCGAAAATAAAAGTCTTGATCTAAGTTAAAGAGATAAATATTAGTTGCAATAGAGAAATCGTCAATTTTATTATCCCTTGGAAAGCAATAAGATCTTATGTAACTACGACCCTGAATTTCCAGTTTCTTCATGCTTGAATATTTATCTTATTTTTCAAAATTAGAATATTATCTTTGTAAATCATAAGTGTTCACCACTAGGAATAAACCATGTTCTAAACGGAAACGTTAGGATTCCACTTTAATCTCTTGGCAGATGTACCAATGACAAACAAAACTTAGAAAAACAAGGTAGAAGTTGTAGGTCCCTGCTTTTTTTTCCCATACCTGCAAACAGAAGCCACCATCATGAGGAGTTAAAGTTAAGCAGCAATGTTTCTTTTCGAACTTTTCTTTCTTTATGAAAAATAGTATAAATACTAAAAAGATGCTTTTGAAGACGAAATTTTCCTTTCTTACAATTTGCAGAGTTTCTCATTTTGAATTACATGATCTTTAACTTACTTTCCCATCTCTATATATAAATAATAATAAAGTACATAGACACTGATCAAACACATGCAAAAATTCAAGATACCAGTGAAATTAGATGCCTAAGTCGCACTACCACTGTTAGAATACTTTAGCCAGCACCAAACTCCTCAAAGTTTGTTCAAACTAAACTTTAGCTTTACAGAGTCCATATGTTGCCTAGTCACACTCAAGAAAAATGGCAAAAAAGAAAAAAAAAAGAAAAGAAAAGAAAAGAAAACATCCTTTCTTATGGATCTCTATCTGCTTTCTTGATTTATAATCAAAAGGGGAGTCTTCCTCCTTTTCGCATGAATTTCTGTATGAATCAGCATCAGCAGTGACTCCATCTCTGGATGGCTTCTTCTCTCTGCTTGAGTTCGAATCATGGCTAACTGAAGTATAAGCTCAAGAAATATCTTGTAGGGTTGAAACCAGTTAGAATCACTACAAGCATCCAAACATACAATTGTTAAGTATATAGTATTCAAGTGAGAACTGTATATAAAGTAGGGGGGGAAACATATTATTAAGTATGGAGGTTACTTAGAGGAGATAGGATGATGACAAGGCCAATTGGGTATAAGAAGAATGTCGTCTTGTCCAAGAATGGAAGTACTGCATTAGTAATTCAGTATAAAGAAATGGTAAGTTTGGCCATATTCATAACAAGAGTAAGCTTTGATGACATGCAATAGTTGCGCAAAAAACACATACCATCATAACCGAGAAAGTTTAGATAGTGGTAGTAAGAAATGGCCACCATGAAGAGCAAATTTGACAACAGAACAGGAAAGAAACCATGAGCTGCTAAGATGGGTGACACAAAGTACTGAATCACTGAAAAGGATTAAGAGACGTTAGAGAAGACAAAGGAGACATCGATAACAAAGCTTAATAAGTTGAATTTATTACCATAAAGCAAAATAAATGATGGGAAGAAAGAGTTGCAGTGCACGTCAAATGCATACAACCTACAAAATAGAACTGCAAGTTGTTATATTGATAATTGTGTTGATAATACATGTGGAACTGCTTATTTTATGGTAAAAAGAATTGGTTTTTAAAAAAAAACTATGTAACTATTGTTCAAATTATATCATAGATTTGAAACTGCTAAACATGAGGTTTGATGGCTCCAGTTTAGTAGTGCTTCCATACAATTAACATTATAAAAATTCATTTTCCCATAAAGCACATCCAGGAGGGTTCACTTCATTCTTTATTCTGTTGAATAAGGATGGGTCAGCTACCAGCCTACCAATAATACTCTTTTCAGAGAAAGTTACAAAAACAGAGGGATTAAATTTGGACTGAAAGATTAATTAGGTAGATGATATAAAGAATTAGGCATCTATCATAATTTGATATTTATGCCATCCAGCGAAATTGCCAGAATTCCAGAATTGAATTCTAGTTATTACCATTCAACACGTTGCTCGACTACATGGCTGTTTGGAGCCTCCTCACGCAGATAAGCGTTTGCCAGGAACCTAATGAAAACAACAACAGATTGCAATTATCTTCAAGAAATTAAGTACATTAATTAGAGAAGTAATGGAATAATGTTTACACCAAACGACTGGCTTACACAAAAAAGACAACAGTAAGCCAGAAATACCAGAATAATCCAGAGTCAAAACTTTGCGTTGAACGTATACTGGTATTGGAAAATCATCAAACTAGTACAAACAAAGAGTACTTGTGCATAAAATAATTTGATATAAAGCTCCAAGTGGAGATATTGAGATCAGATATTGCAATTACGTTGAGCGATGCACTTCAGACCCATTTACTTGTTGTGGGGGTAAAAGGCTTACAATTGAAATTAAATCTCTCTTTTTTTTCTTTTTTTCTGCCTGGAAATAGCTTCTCTAGAAGGCCTGTTGGTAAATCTTTTATATTCAATGCAATCGGGAATAATAAAACTTGCAGTACACATTACCTGGCCAACGTTTGACCAAGGCTCGCCATAGTTGGGGGCATTTAAATATCTCCTTTTTTCTGCTTGTGATTCCTTCCATTTTCTTTTACGTTGTGCTTAAGTGTAACGGGAACTACTTCAGGATTAAAATCAAAACTAAACCTTACTTTTCTTTAATCTCTATACTTATGCACCCTTCGTTGAAATATATATGGTGTAAGTTGAAGGGGTAACCTTTTATCCAAAAAAAAAAAGTTCTCTGGAACCTTATCATCAATTTGAAGGGCTAGTTAAACCATTAATGATCTTGTAAAAAAAAATCCTTCTGGATCTAGTGAATTGTCCCCAGTTTCTCCAATTATAGTAGGAAAATGAGCCAATGCTTGACGATAAAACGGGATCTACCTACCCTTATCCAACGCATATTTAACTTAATTTATCAACATCCCCTCATGTTATAAGGCAGAGATGGGTCTGTTGGTCTATTCGCCTGACCAGATTGACCCCTTATTTTTGCTTTATCCCATACCCATCTCCTACCATCATGCAGAAACCACCAGCCAGTCGAAGTGCTTGTGAGGGGGAAAATATATCATGGAGGGGCTGCAACAAGCTATATTAGAGCAGGGGGCAGGAAAGCCCAAGCAGTTTATGGCTTCAAGTTGTCTAAGGTTGGTCTCATCAGATGAGATGAGAAATACCTTCTCTTGATAAAGCATATGATCTATCTGTGCATCTTAACCAGGAGAGTTTCACCCTTGTACAAAACATCTCATAATATGGCCTCATCAGGTTCTGACAAATCTAGCAGAAGTGTATACATACAATGAAAGAGTGGAGAAAGAAAGTGAATCAGAGGATAAAAAAGGGATGAGGTGCGCAGGGGAAAAGGGAGGAACGAGAATAATATTAAACAGAGATCGTACACAGTCACCTCATTACATGACTGATATAACAGAACACCTCAATATTACAACTGAGTGTTCAGGCATCAGCTTCATGTCTTGGAAAATAACCAGGACTGTGTTAGGAAATTGCAACAAACATTAAAATTTATACTGGTATTAATATTCCTGTCTATATGTAAAATATTTAGAATGCGCTAAAAACTAAAAAGTAAAGACTTTTCTACGTTACGCCAGATATTGCAACAAATTATTGCAAAACACAGCAGCACCAGAGGTTGAAACCAACATGTACAGTCAATGTAAAATTCTTACCAACAAAATGTGGCTACAAGTGATCCAGCTAATAAGAAGTGAAAGACAACAACTGAAATAACTGTGAAGACAGCATGTGCCAAACTCTGACCATACCTGAAGGGGTAAAAGAAAAAAAGAACATTATCATCTACAAGACAAATCCAGAGCAGGACGTGCATGATCAGCTATCTCAGGAGATGAGTCCTTCAAAGTGAAAGTGAAATTAGAAAAAATATACTGCTTTGGTCACTCAGAATTGAAGTCATCCCGCAGCAGCTAAAAGTGAACCAATGATTTAGAAAATATATAGGCAATATGATAATCTTAGGAAACTTACGCAACACAGTAAGCTGAAGTGGCAACTATCAAAAATAAACAGAAGATCACAACAAAAGCAGGGTCATCTCGTGCCCATTGATTTTTTGTTTCTGAAACAGAAGGAAAAAGAAACAAATTAAGAATTACCAAACTGAACAAAATTCTATTGCATAATCCAATCTGACATCTACAAGATAAGTAACTGTTTCCATGCTATTGAACATTCAAACAAATAAAAAAAGAAGTAAAAGCAAGAAGCAAGTGCGGAATGTAGGTATTCTCTTTTGTTTGCAAATCACCAATAAAATGCGTATTTTTGTTTTCATTTAAAATAACCAACATAGAAAATGCAACCCTTGGTTCAAGAATTTGTCAAATTTGCAGAAGGTAGGTTTCATTGATTAAATCTGGGATATTCTATGACTTTAAAACTACAAGGTACGAAAAAAAAATTAGAGTGAGAATGACTAAGATGAAAGCAAATACTCTTGAATCTTTAGGTTCATCAGCTAGAGAAAGGGGAAAAAATAGTCCAGAACAGTGGTTTAGCAACAGCGTAGCTAAGGAGAGAATTAACACATACATTCATCTATCCGCAAATGGGGAAAGAACTTTGGCCCAAATGTTCATATAACTTGATTTACATAAGGTAACTAAACTCATCTTATATCTTATACTAGTGGATTGAAATGTTAAAATATTTTTTCCGAAAACGCCCTCCAACACATGCCTACATGCATACATGAATAAATAGATTCTCCATATAAATGTGATAATTACACCCTTCATCACATACATATATATGGACACATTCATACAAATATACATAATACAAGTTCCTTATGCTTTCATAACTCCCATTTCATAACCCCCAATTAAATTCACCATGAATTACATTAAATTAAATCAATTGTGTTTTTATAACTCCCTATTAATCCACAAGCCTTTTAAATCCCATCCCAAAAACATAACCCCCACCCCATCATTATATGATCATTTCTCTTATCCCTTCCACATAAAACATGCAGGGGCACAGCAAGTCATGTTATGCTCTTAATATTTTCAATTCTGTGCTAGGTTATACTTGAGAAACCATGGGAATAAATTATATGTGTTTTTTCTTCAATTATATTATGTTGGTCCTGGGATTGCAAATGAAGAAGAGTTGGAAGAGCTCAAGACTTTCGATAGCATTTTTGTAAAATTATAATAGATTGGATGTAAATAGCAGATGATTGAGGTAAGCATTATATGCTTTACACTTTTGTATAGCTTTTTAGTTCTCATTTTGTTTATTATGTCATTACTTAAGCAATTGAGTTGGACGTATACAATTGATTCAGTGTCCATCCTCAAACTGTTTGATATTTGTATGCTTAGATTTGTACAAAATAGTAAATCCCCGAGAGTTATTTATACTTAAGCAGGAATTTATAGTCAAGTTAGGCTTTGCACAAACTCTTTGATATTTGCATGTGCACGTAGTTATACCAAAAAAAACTCTTGGATATTTGCATGTAAATTGTAATTCCTGCTTAGCACTTACATTTGCACAAATCCCCTCCTCATAGATAAATTTCAATAATTGTAGCAAAAGAAAATCTACACCTGAATAATTCAACCACATCCTCAAACTTTTTGTCAAAAAAATCACTAAGTACAGTATCACTATATTTATGTCCCTCTTCTCATTGTTCTAACTATGAATATTAAAAAAAAAAAAGGATGAGGGGCTCAAGAGAACCCCCGAAGCCATGCCCGCATTGCCCATGCTCTCACTGTGAATTAAATATATTAATTTCATATTTACATTCTTGGATTTGTACTTACAATTTTAAAATAAAAATAAAAGGATTTGTGCTTACAGGTGACGACAGAGGTTTGAGGAATTGATCGAGGTTTCAATGATTGAGGCAGATGGTCTAGGCTGTAAATTGTAGGAAGAACCGTTCTTTCTATATTCAAGAACATTGATGGCATCAACATAAAGACCATCGGGATATATGTCTAACCTCAATAGAAAGTTTCTCTTCTAGTCTTATAATTTTTATTGTATCTGGTTTCATATGCAATAATATGGATAATTCGATGTCATTAAATAGCTTTCTCGATATAAAAGTGAAGTCATACTATATAAATTTCTTATACATGGTTTTGTACTCAGTTTCTTTTTGTCACTAGATAATTTGGGTCTCAACAATCTGCTTCTATATGAAATTCAATTGTTTGACAAGTCATTTTATCCAAAATTCTAATTATAAAAAAACTTTTTTCTATATGTAAATGAAAATTACATTTTAATTGAATTACTTCATCCAATATTCTAATTATAACAATACTTTTATCTATACATTTTAAATTTATGTTAACTAAAATATATTAACTATAAGTTTTAAAATATATTTTGACTACATGCATTTAAATTTAATAATAAAATTGGACACATTTAATTCATTCTCATGAAGGAATGGAAAGTCCACCTCCCTCTAAGCCTATCTAAAGATTTTTAAAGAAATCTCTTTTTTTATTACACTAATTTTAAATATAATTGTAAAGATGGAGGAGCTTGGAATCCCAAAAAAGTGGTTGGAAATTCAAAGGTGAAGTTGTACATAGACATAGAAGAGAGCTTTTATTCTCTATGAATTACCTTATCTCTTCAAATTAATAACAAATTATCAAGAATACTAGAGACCTTTTATTCCCACTAAATTTACCTCCATTTACACCCATTCTTACAATATAAATACCTACAACGAACCCTTCAAGAACTTTAAAAAATTTCCAGGAACACCCAAATGAATTACATATTTTGCAAAAAAATCCATAAATTTATAAAATCTTCATAAATACCCAAGAGATTTCTAGAACATGCAAATTTTGCAGAGAAATCCACTGAACTTACAATAAATCTAAAAGACTTCCAAACCTTGTAAATTATTTTAAAAAAAACAGAACCAACCAATTCGGCAGAAAAATCCAAAGAACTATGAATTTTTAAAGAAAAGTACCTAAATTATCAAAACATCATAACTTGCAAAATTTAAAGAATAAATGAATTTCCAGTTTAAAAAAAAGTGAAAATTGCTGAAACAAACTGAACCTTTAGTTTTAAAAATAAACTCTAAAATTTAAAAAAGAGCCTTGAAATTTCACATTTTTAGAAATTCGTAATATAAAATAAATATGACCACGTGCAACGCACGTGCACTATACTATAAACTTAAAACTTACTTTGAACACATACTTTCTGGGTAGAAAGCTGATAACAGGTATTAATAAATGAAATAGGACGAAACTATTACTAGCTGAAAATTCGGAAGTAATCTTCAGTCTTATAACTGCTTCAGCGGTGGCATCCCTATCCACTCAATAAACACCTCTTTTTCCCCATTTCTTCTTTCGACAGAATATTTCATATCAAATGAAAAAGATAAAAGAATAAAAGAACCCTAGTCATAACGCCTAGAACATTTGGCATCTCTGTCAGGTGTTTATGTTGGCTCCCCATATGAAGTAAGAAACTTTTGAGACCCCAATTTATTCTCTAGAGTTACTCTATAATTACAGTACTTGAAGTGTGGTGAACCTGATCATAGAAACTCCAAGCAAATGAAATTGCATTTCTCAAGCCAAAGGTCTTTCCTCCCCAGGTACACTTTTATTTCAGAAACACAATCAGGAAGCATGCATGGTGTGGACTACCGGAAACCAGAAAACCCAAAAAAGAAAGAGAAAATGCAAATGATGGAAAGAAGAAGAAAAACAAGGAAATGAAAAACAAAATGCACAATTACACAGTATGCGGGATGTAGCGGGTCAAGGTACAAATTCGGCTACACAATTCGCCACTTAGAAAAGTTGGATACGTTAGGGAATAGCTTGCTTTGGTACGCAAGTTTGTAAGTGGTACGTTGTAAATTTTTTTAGGATGCGCTTAAAGTTTTCCAAAGTATATAGTAGAAAAGTAGAATTCTAATTATGAATTTAATAGTTTTTCCATACAAAATACTTAAATACTTTTTTTAGATGGTGTTTGTTTCTTTGTTCCGTGTTTTCTCTTCACAAAGCTTGTTTTAGGATCATGGTTTTGTTTTACATCTAATTAACATACGTGTTTAGTTACAGTAAAATCATCGGCTCACACACTCTATTGTGTGGCTCTCTTCACTTGATTGCACACGATGCATTGCGTCTTGTGCATGTGCCCTTAAAGAGATTTTGCATCTAGCATAGTTGTAAGTGGTACACCAATTTTAGGGAAACGGTTCGTGTATCGGAAGGAATCAGTTCATAAATGTACCATGAATCCGTTCGCAGGAACTGTACGATGGTTTGAGGGGGGTTCAAGGAATCACACAACTATGGCAAAATGGACGGAAATTGAAGAAACTGAAAGAGAAAGGGGCAAAATAGAGGAAGAGAAAGCTTCACAACCGAATCAGAAAAGAATGGGAATTAACAGAATTTTATTTATATATATACTTTTTTAAGAAACATGGAAGTAACACTGAATTAGCATTGATTTGGAGATGACCATGAATTAATGAAAGCATATTTTGGAAAATAATCTTCAACAAACAAGGGTGCCTGCAAATACACTTTAAATGAAGAGAAACATGTAGAAAATACAAAGATAAATATGCTAAATCCCTTCAATCAATACCTTTCTACAGTATCAAGTAGCTAGAACATGAAAGCTTAAGAAATCATATTAAACAACTTACCTTTTTACAAGATAAAATGTATCAGGAAATTTTGGTTTTTGTGTTTCTAGATAGGTATTTATCCCACCCAATGATGCAAACGTTCAATTTGGGACCTCCATTTGCAATTCAAAATGGAAGAATCAAATATAAATGGGCAGTGTACATTAATGAAATATACGAAATTTGAATTAGATAGCAGAAGATAAACAAGCGATATAAATCAATGCTAGCTTAGCAAATATACCGATTACTTTAACATCAAAAGTAACATTAATAAATGTTCAAAAAGAATGTTTAATCAATAAGTACTTACGCTTATGATATTTTGTGTGTTGATAGCTATATTCCCAATCCGATTTCACATGCAAAAAAAAAACAAATAGATTTATCTAGTCAGATTTTTCCATCAGGTAAGCTCAGGTACATCGAAAAATAATATAAGGAAATAAAAGGAAACTCAAAAAAGGGCCAAACTTTGGAATATCAAAATCCCGATCAACATTTAACAGACTAAAGAAAATCTGACCTATCACATAAATGATGGTGCATCTTATTAGACCACAATAAGCATGGGTGTGCATATTAAGTTATGTTAAACCAAAAAGTAAAAAATGGAGAAGCATTATGGTATTTAAACATCAGTAAGATGTTGTAGTTCATGAATAATGATATGGACTCCCAATTTGAAAAGCCAGCAACGTAATTAAGAATGGAGGTGTCATGTAATTTGGACCGTCTTTGTATGGCACTCAAGAGTCCAAACTGAGTCTTGCAAATGAACAATTTCTCTAGCTTTACCACATATATGTTGAATTGACAATCTTTAATTATGTCACTAATAGACTTTCTTAAAATTGCTTTACCGTGTGTTCAGTCGGGTGTAGTTGGAGTGTTTAGTGCATTTCCAGTTGCATGCAGCTCTCACCGTTGTAGCAGGAGCTGTATTCAATTTTTTGGTTTAGTTGCAGCTCCAACTACCTGGTTTATAGAGCAAGTGTTTGACTGCTTGTGTTTACAAAAGAAGCATAGTTATACTCCATGTATAGATTCCAACTATTTGAGCTCAATTTGAGAGAAATTGCTATTGCAGCTTTTGCTGACAATTTTCCTGCTGGACCTACAAGTTATGAATATAGCTATACCCAAAAAACATATATGCCTAAATTTTCAATAAATAAAATTCATTGGATAAAGGTTAGAACGCATTTATTAAGATATGAAAATCATTATATTATACAGGGATTATTATCAATACATTTGCATATGAATCTAGAGTATATTGGATGGTCAAGATTCGACCTCAATATTATGTGTATATCTAATTATGATCAGAGATTACTATCCACGTTTTTAAACTATTTCTTCTCTTACTTGCTATTTACTAAATCATGTGTTATATGTTCTCTTTGTGATGATTTACGTATTTTACAACACAGCAATAAATGTTTCAGTCAACTAAGATGGGAGAATGGTGAACTAGAACTGTAAAGGTGTACAAGTAGTTGTTTGTCACGTGTACAAGTAGTTGTTTGTCACGTGTCTTCGCAGATGCTGACGTAATTGGAAAGGATTGTCCTGTAAATTCATCTCATTTGTTAAAATTCACCGACATAATGAATTATCTAAATTAAAAAGCTTCTGAGATGTATATAACATAAAGCCGGCGAATAACAGCAGGAACTACAGGCGAAAACTTCAAGAACGTTGAAAAATACAGATATATGTTGTTTTGAGAAGGCGTCGACTCACAGTACCAGCAACTCCTGAATATGGTAGCAGGACATGCTGCTTATGGTGTGGTGAATTAATTAACACAGCAAGGAAGTGTGCTTTAAAGAAAGATGCTTACACAACTTTCGGCGAGGTACAAAGATGAAGCATCTGCCAGAAAGTATACTCAATATCCATTTGTTGCCACTACAAGAAGTGAAAAAATACGACATAAATAAGAGATCATAAGAGTACCAAAAAAAAAAGATGGTATCGACTATCAACAAGCTCAAGTAATCAAAAAAATAAGAAAGTAATGGCAACATAATATGCAAATAAAAGAAACCATCAGCAACAGCCATTAGCAGGTAAACACGAAATGGGCAAGTCAGACATGGAAATAGTTCACCACTTCAACATATTGTTGTAACTTTATGATTAAAGAGCTTCTGTCTACACGCACCAACGCAATAATAAGTAAAGAACGTTCCCTAAAAGAAAAGTAAGCAATGGATCCACAACATATCTTCACTCTCAGCAACTCAGCCCAACATAGCATCAAGGTGTTCACAGACCAGCATTCATTAACACCAAAAAGAGCATAACCCTAAAGCGATTCTTATGTTATCCACTAAAGAACAGCCTGAGCTATATAAGAAGATGTTTGCTCATTTTAAAAAACTATTTTGCTTAATGTCTACATGTAATAACAATGCCTCCACTTGAAAAGGTGTATGTATGTATCACATCAATTCATGATTCACAAGAAAAATGGGTTCCCGAAATGAGCAGAAACTCTCATTGATCATACAAAAGCTCCCATTTTCTCAGCAATCCTGACCTCCAGAGGTGGAACAAGATGAGACATAACTTCTAATATTGAGTTCTATTAAATTCTATAATCTTTAAACCTAAAATCCTTTAGCAAACAGCTAAGCAACTCAACCAATCAATAAGCAGATAGATCTCGACCTTCCCAAAGAATTTGGTAACCTTATCATATAGATCGGAGGCAAGGGTACGATTCCTTTCTGTATAAATTTAGATCAAGAGCTAGGGTTTCTCAAAGCATTTTTGAAGCATTAACTAGAGAAATACCTTGACAATTCTGCGGAGATATTGAGCGACGACCGGAGCGGGGCGCACGTTAGAGGACGTGCGCCCTTTCGACACCGTCGGCAACATCCTCTCTCTCTCTCTCTTCTTCTTCTTCTTCTTCGACGAGATCTGAGAAGAGTTTTCGCAATCGTCGACGAGATCTGTGTCTTGGTTGAAGAAGAAAGCGGAGTGAGAGCAACAAATCGAGCCCTTTTCTTTTCTTTTCTTTTCCTTTTTATTTTTATTTTATTTTTTTCGCACTGACTTGAGTTTTGGTCTGGAAGAAAAATCAGACTGAGCCCAGTTACAGCATTACTTGGTCAGATCCGACCCGAATCAAAGATTTCCAGACGATAGCCATGACTATTGTTTTTTTTTTTCTAATATTTTTATTTTTATTATATATTTTTTTTAAAAAAAGAGAAAAATATAATTTAAGAATATTATACATGTGATGATGACAAACGAGCAACAAGCTGCGCCGCTAATCCTTTCTGAATTGTAAAACCTAACCTACGAAACACGTACTCAGCGGACAGCAGTCTGTTGTCCCTACATTTTTCTTTTCTTTTTTAATAAAGAGCAGCAATTCAAGTTCTTTTAACCAAGACCATGGGAGCCATGAAACCACTGTCTGGCTCACCTGCGGTGGGCCTGCAGCAACTCAAAATCTTCATATGCATCAATGCTCTTCTTATTATAGGTACACTAAAAAGTCCATTAAACAACAAAACATAATTGGTGATCTACTATATTAAGCCCGTCAAATAATACACGAGTAGCTGCTGTAGATTATAGGCAAATAGATTAATGAAATTAGCTGATGATTTTTTTAGAATTAATATCAATTCGAAAAAAGGAACAAAATTGCGTTCAGGCTCTTTTATGTCTGCGGACACCAGCAAGAGAATTACTACATGTTGCTCTAGAAATTATAATATTTGGGAATCAATAACCAAATGATCGACAATATATAACATCAGATGTAAGACAGGAAAAATGAATTACTTACTATTTCCCAAAAAAAGGAAGAAATAACAGCACTTTACACCACAAAATAAAGGCAATTGAACTATTCTATTACAAAAGATTAGTATTTCACAGTTACCTCTTAAATAACTCGATCAACATCACTTCTCTATGATATCACCCTGTAAAGCTACACTAGAGCAAGCATAGTTCTCTCCTCCTCTGTTACAGCTTTCCTGAATGCTAGAGACAAAATCTAATACAATACTGTACAAACCCACATAATCTCCACCTTAAAATGATAACAAAATTGGTAAAAAGGTATATAAACTGGACCAGCCGAAAGAATATATCCACTATTATGTACATCAGCAAGTATTGAAGGGAGTCTGCAAGTTGACCATGTTCATTATGCGCATTGGCTTTACAAGCGCATCAAGTTCATCCGGGTGCCTGTCAGAGAGGTCAGAATCAGACTCTTTTGAGTTCGAGTCCTTTGAAACGTTAGTTTCTATATCATCACCATTATCACTATTAACGTCGATGCTGATAAATTCAGCAAATTGGTCTGCACCCTTCTCCTCATTACATTTATCTGAAGCAATCACCATGGGTTCACTAAACTTGACAATCTTCGAGCTGAAGTATCTCCCCCTGCTACTGTTTTGAATTTCAGAGTGTTTCCTCTTTTTGGACTTCTTTCTGCTCTTAGGATGATGAAGTTTGCATTTAGATCCTTGTGGACAGATTCCTGTAGCTTCAAAGAGGGGGCACACATAACTGTGCTTCTTGCGGCACTGCTCGTGGAGGATATTTATAAATTCAATTTTCCGTAGATTGGTTAGAAACATAAATCCGAGAAACTAGATATTATATTCAGAAGCAGACAATATTATTCAATTCAAATACCAAGGTCAAATTGTCAAAATGCCTTGCCCTGACAATATGTTCAGTTCTTTTATAAAACTTTCCAGACTTTTGGATTGTGCTGCATAAACAAACCCAGTTTTGATTTGAAGAGGCATATACCATTTTGTAACCTTTTTAAAAGTATAAGAGTCAACCAGTTGAAAACTGCCCAACAATTTCGACAGCCACAAGGTATAGCAAAGCAAGGACAGCATCCCAGAGTAGCTGCAATTTCATGTATGTGCAATAAAAACTAGTCTGAACTTAATCCAATACTAAAGATTAAGATTCTTCACTTGCAGCGCTGCATTGGCAAAAGTATCATCATATCAGGCAACCCATATGCAAGAAAAAATGAAAAGCACCTGGATTGCTTGTTTAATTCGTTTTGTTAATGGTCAATGTCAAATATATCACCTCAAAAATGAAAAGCACCTGGATTGCTTGTTTAATTCGTTTTGTTAATGGTCAATGTCAAATATATCACCTCATACTGGAAACAAATATCATATCTGGCTTTAATTCGTTTTGTTAATGGTCAATGTCAAATATATCACCTCATACTGGAAACAAATATCATATCTGGCCTGAAGCAATAACTACATAAGCTGATTTTACATGGACATGGCTTCATTCAGAGATTCAAATGAGATGTGACTAAAAGGTCCAAATCTTCTACCAGACCGACATCATAACAAGTAAATGATTTCTCACTTCCTCAGAAGCCACATTTTTCGAAGCTTAAGGGAAATGATAAGATTATAATTGACGGGGAAAGAAGAACTAAACCTAGGCCAAAGAGACCTTGACTAGAAGTTGTTGAGGACATGTTAAAGATTAACTTTGTGGCGGGCCCTCCTGCCGCCCTCCTGCCGGCCTGAACAAAATGCTCCTTCAGGAAGTAGCCCCATCACCCTCGGGCCCGGCGCCAACCAGGAGGAGGCGGGGCTCTGGATCTCTCCAACCATTCCGAAGAGCAGAGATCTCGTAAAGGAAAAATAAGCAAACCTGAAAAGACCAAAGGCGCGGTATTTTTTTAACTCAAGATGGGTTTCTATGCCAGGTGTTCTTCCCGTGGCTTCAGGGGTATTCATGTTTGGCATTTGCCTACCCTAACCGAAATCTTTGGAGATGATTCTGTACTACAGTTCGGTGGAGGAACTTTAGGACACCCTTGGGGAAATGCACCTGGTGTGGTAGCTAATCGGGTAGCTTTAGAAGCCCCCAGCAAAACTGAGTGAAAAAGTAGGATTCATGTAGCCAACCCAGAAAAAATGGGGATATAGGCATTGTTGTTGACGTTGATGCTGTTGTCCAAGAGAAGCATTGCATGTTCTATAAAGTGTTGAAGTTAGAGCTTTCTAAGGATGCTGAAGTTATACATTGGATACATTTCTACATACTTCCCATGTAGAAAAGAAAAACTCCAAAGGGATCATATGATGTGCCTCAATGAGACAGAAACATGGCCAATTTAGCAGGACGTACACTGTAATGGTAGCTCTGATACAATCAGCAATCGAATACATTTGAGGACACATAAAAGATCTAGCGGCAAAACCATTGTCAGATGAAAAATGAAAATTAAGTTAGTAATTAAGTCAAATAAGAATTGAACCATAAGGATATAACGATAGAATCTTGGTGGGCAGGATAGTCAAAAGGATATAACATATGTTGTAAAAAGAAAGAAAATACTTTGGAACAGCAAGCTCATAGGATCCGATGGTGTCAAATACAGCAGCTACCGGTGATATAAAGGAAAGTGTGGTAACAAATGAAGGGCAAAGTCACTTATGAATATTTGGATCACATCAGAAAGAGGGTAGGAAGGAAAGGAAGAAAGGATTAGATTAGGATTTTCTTACACTTGTAAGTCTTGCGGGACCTTGCTGAGGTACTGTAAAATGTTTGGTTCTTACTAATTTTTGATGTCTGCTGCTCAAGTCTGAGCTTTCATGTGAGTGATTGTTGTCTAATTAATTTTCATCCAAATCTTCCTACGTCACAAACAGCAGGAAACTTTCCCATAATTTTTTCATGACTTTTACAGGAAATCCTCTTCCCTTCATTTTAGTTCCAGTTCACTCTCCAGTTAAAAACAAAAAGGCTAAATACCCATATTGGTATTTTAATTCCACTTCATTTACCTCATTTACCAAGAAGGTATTTTAATTAGGCAAATCTGCTTTAAGGCATTTTAATTGATTTAACTTACCAACAAAGTCCTTTTTCTCGTCGGCGATCAGTTTTCCGGCGAGAGCTCGTCACGTGCGTGGCAGGTGATGACTTAAAACTGTTTTTTTGCTGCTGATGTGGCACGGATTTTCTGACGTGGCAGTGTTTAAAGGCGGGAATTAACCCTCTAAAAATCCCAATTCACCCAAAATAGGACAGATCAGTGCCATATCAGCAGCTAAAAAACAGTTTAAGTCATCACGTGCCACGCACGTGACGAGCTATCGCCGAAAAACTGGTCGCCGACAAGAAAAATGGCCTTGTTGGTAAGTTGAATCAATTAAAATGCCTTAAAGTAGGTTTGCCTAATTAAAATACTTTCTTAATAAATGGGGTGGAATTAAAATACCAATATGGGTATTTAGCCAAAACAAAAAGGTATTATTAAAAGACGCAACATAGAGAATGTAACTAAACCAAAAAATAACTAGCTTAGACGAATGGCAAACATAAAAGGTAAAAAGAGAGAAAGACAGAACTTAATAGCCAGACAGAAAAACCATATGAAAAAGGAGGATAAGTAGGTCTAACGTTCCTTGGGGCATTAGAATATGAATGAGGTAACTAAGTACGAAAATAATAGTCAGCGAAGACAAGGTAATAAAATACAAAAATAATAGTAAGCATGATCCAGAATGCTGCATGATTGTAAACAGAAAGCAGATAGCCTTCCACTGGTATCTCTAAAACAAATAGCAACAGGAGAGCAATACAGTGCAGAAGAATCCATCATGCTGCACACAAAATTGTTTGATACTCTAAATTGTGAATCCACAAGAATAAAATAGAAACCGATATGAGTATATCCTTTTCTGGTTTTCTAAATGACATAAGTTGCTAGAATGGAACATTTACTTACATAATCAAATTTAAAATAATAAAAGTGCAAAAATGTCATAAAAATTTAGAAAGGATTAGTAAATCAACAAACTGTAAATAAAAAATTTAATACTTTCAAAAAATTATTCTTTATTTGAAAGCTAGTTTCATCAAAAAATAAGAAAATTCAGGCTTTTTATGTGTGGCATAATAGGATCTTGTCTGCAAGCATACTCCAATATGATGATACGAGGAATGAGGAAATTTTCAAAACAGCCTCAAAAAGTTTTTTATTTTTCAAAATCGACCCACTTTTTTTTATTTATCAAAATCGACCCATTTTTTGCCACGTGGGCTTAATGAAGTTCCTAAACAGTCGGGGTTGCCAACCCCGACTGTTTAGGACATGAAAATTTCGGGTTTAAAGGTTCTAATTGGGGTTTAACACCCTCCTAAACAGTCGGGGTTGGCAACCCCGACTGTTTAGGAACTTCATTAAACCCACGTGGCAAAAAGTGAGTCGATTTTGATTAATAAAAAAAGTGGGTCGATTTTGAAAAATAAAAATCTTTTTTGGGCTGTTTTGAAAATTTGTTCTATGAGGAATTAACAGTTTTAATGACTCAAACAACAATAATTATGATTTCAACTTAAGCTCTTACCTCATCGCCATCAGCACAATATCCTCTGAGGAACCCATCACAAACAGAAGCTTTGGGATTTACATACACATGTCGATAAGAACAGCTTATATTTGTGCAGAGTCCTGGCAGAATGAGATGAGCAGATTATACAAGTCAATATTAACAACAACCAACTGCAGTACATTAATATTATAAAGAAACTTGATACCTTGTAAGAAATATGAACAATCTGGCATTCTTTCCGGAATAATCTGTGGAGGAAAGGTCCAAAAATCAAAGACATGGTTATCACAATCATCCAGAGACAAACATTTGCACAGTATCAATATGCCAAATAGAAGAATGTCACCTGATGAGTTAACTTGCAGTTAGCATCAGTACATACTCCTCTAAGAAATTTAGTGCAGATAGCAACCTTTTCAGGATCATGGATGTATGTGCATTTTCCTGAATTCTTATTACACTTGCCAAATCGAGTAAAAAATTGGCAATATTGCTGTTTTTTAGCCAATCGCCGCCTAGCGGTGTGCAAACTCCATCGTATTTTTTCACTAGCTAACATACGAATAAGTTTCTTTGGGTCTCTAACCAGTCGATTACCATTCCCTACTCGAACATACCTGTTAAGCGATAATATGATCAGAATGAAACTTGAAAGTGCTTACAACTGGTTGCCAGATAGAGCTGTGAAATAATTGGGAAATTTGAATTCGTAGCTGCTAAGCGGAACATACTCATTATTGCCAATTAACAATCTCCTTGGAACAAAAGTATTCTTCTGTATTTGCTTATCATCAGCACCTGGTGATTGGTCATCTGCAAAAGGCTCAATCAACAAGGCACATATCTCAATAAGGACGCCTACATTAGCTGCATCGGTGAAAAATAAACACAACACTAAAGGTTACATGAATAAATTGAAAAAAAAAATCTCAAAAAAAAGGAATCTTTATTTCTGGATTGGAGGATACTTCATAGTACAAGGACTCTCCTGACAAACAGCAAAAAAAACTTGCAGATGTTTAAATTTATTCACCACCAAAACTCTACTATTCATTGTGCACCATGCTAACCATTCTGTTAACTATTACTTCACTATTGATGCAATACAATCGAGCTGTTAAGATAAGGTTCAATTGCTTTACTACTTCATTGTTGATGCGGTACAATTCAGCTGTTAAGATAAGACTAAATAAATGCAGCCAAATGGTGAATCAACATGCAAAGCGAATAAACTTTGATGATTACAGCATGAACAAAGTGATGAATATAAAAAAAGAATGAGAAGGTAAAGCTTACCCTGTATCGTTATTAGAGTCAGTTTGGAAGCATCCATTTTATATCGAACTGAACCAACACGAAAGATTCGTTCCCCTGAACAAAGACGAAATTTATATAACGACAAAGTTTATTCACCAGATTTAGTGAAACCCATAGCAGATAAAAGCGATATGTATCTCTTGACTGTAAGAAACTAGACCTGAAGGGTTACGCAAGAAAATTCAAACACACTGAAGGAATAAATGGAAAAGTATGAAATATGTACTCGTAAAAGATAAATTTCTGAAGACAAACATTGGAAATATTTAACTAGTTAATCAATCAAGTGTAATCTAGTAAAAAAATTACACTTTTACCACGCAGAGCTATCTTTGTTTAATTCAGAAAAGAACAGCCATCAATAACAGATCAAATAATAGCAGCGATACATACGCATGAAAGCAGAAACAATATTCCAAAGCCAAATGAATCACTTTTAGCTAGGCACAATAACTTAAAGCACTTCAATAAACTGTAATTGTTCATAATGTATGAGATATTTTTTTCCTTGACAGTGTGGCAGGGGGAAACTTATAATGAATATGTTGTTGAATCAAACTTATATGTGGTATGGTTGTGCGTTCACTACCAAATTGTAGCTCACTTTACCTTGTTGTAGCTCAATATCAGAAGTTGACTTGCGTGTGAAGCTATGCTTTCCACGAGAACCCATGGGTTTTTTCCTTTTTCTTTCTCTCCTCTTCCTCTCTTCTTCAGCTACTGCTAGTGTAGCTTCCTGCAGCAAAAAAACTCGAACTAGTTGATAAAAAGTGACAATAGTACAGTGCATAAAAATATTACATGTTCCACAAAAGCAAATGAGCTGACATTATCAGAATCTTAAGACAGAAGCACAAAGTATTCCAGAATATCAGTTGTCTTTCACTAAGCATGAACTACACTAGTCAGACTTGAATGACATATCAGTGAACACCATCAATGTTTTAAAAAGCATCTGCGTTGCCCGCCTAGGCGTACGCCTAGGCCTAGGTAGTACCTTGCACGCCTACCTAGCACCTAGCACCTAGCACCTAGGCGGTATGTAGGCTGCCTACCTATATTTTGAAAGTACCTAGGGGAGCATGGTTTGCTTACATGGACTATACCCTTTACGCATTGATCATGATTTCCTCTATTAAAGCCTCCACTTCCTCCAACCTCCTCCAAACTTTAGCTATGAACACCTCCTCTATCTCTCGTGACCTTGAACAAAATATCCTCCACTACCACTCAAGAAATCTACCTAGGTGTCAGTCTAGCACCTCAGCTTTTTATAACATTGGCACTTACTATCACTATTTATAATTAAAAACTAAAAAATAGAAAAACGCCTAGGCCCTGCCTAGGCTCTAGGCGTCGGCTTCAACGCCTACGCCGCCTAGTGCTTTCTGTAACCTTGAACACCATTGTAGTACATCATATAGTATCCTTGGAGCATATATGACATATCAGTTTACACCAAGTTCGTAATATAATCCAAGAAAATATAATGATCATGCTAATATGCAACATCAAGAAATATTAGATTGCATCAATTGTCTCAGAAGTAAAATAAATGAGAGCATTGAATAGATAACTTCCACCAATGTAGAATTGGGAACAGATTTTGGAAGTAGGAAACAGTCAGGGTAGAACCTTCAATATTAGTAGTCTACTGAAAACAAGGCCATATATAACTGGTATGGTCCATTACAGTGGCAGCTCTACTCAATAATCACCATTTGGATATTATATACATATTATGTATGTATGCGCGTACGTGTGTGCGTATAGTGTTAGGTCATTCAAATGAAAATTCCATTCCACTATAGTTGATCTACATAATTGGAAGCGCCTAATATGAAAAGGTGAAGTGTTTTTTAAAATGTTCATATGTCAACAAAGCACATATGGATGGCAGAAAGTAGCATTTAAGTTGGATAACTTTGTAGAGGTGCTGGGCCTTTTTCTGTGGGGAGGGTGTTTGGGCTGGAGGAGCAGGAGTGAAGGTGACTTGATTTGGGTGCTTGGAGAGCAAGAATATGTCAACAAGCCCAGTTTTTCTGCTAGAAAGATTTATAGTTTTGCCATTCAGATTCTTGATATTATCATTTAATCATGATTTAATGCTTAAAACGCACATTTTTTTGTTAGGTATCACGTATGACTGGAAACTTTTTTTTTTAATTTTTGAGTTTTGGATGAAGTGGATCTAGGTTTTTCTCTGACTTAGATGAGACGGATTTTCTTAGACCCTCCCTCCCTCTTGCTCTCGCTTTCTCTTTCTCACACATGATGTGTTTGCACGTCTTATGCCAATTGCCCATGCACATTGCTTAAACTGTAATTATTAGGAAAATTTATACAAGGGTTTTCCTTTGAAGATTTAAGAAGTGGAGGAAAAGAAAGTATCCTATTAACATGCCTCCTCAAGATATTCCATTTAGATTATTTTAAGTGTCAAAGGACCCTGCCACCATACCACAACTTTGAAGTTATTGTGAGGGTTGAGGGTTACAATTTTATACTCTAATATGCCCCCACACGCTGAGGGCTCTTTAATGGGCTGAAATCTGGACCTGTTGAGTGGTATCTCTATTTTTAATCCACTTTAGAAATACGTGGCGAGAGCCTTGATTGCTCTAATAACATGTCAAAGGATCCTGCCACTGCACCACAACTTCAAACTTGCGCAGAGGTTTGAGGGTTATGATTTTGTAATCTAACACTAACACCACCAATGATTCTCAAGTAAAATAGCAAGGGAAATTATGTCAGTGACCAAACAACTCGCCTCATTAGCCTTCTTTGAGTGTCTATCAATGGATTTTGACCATTTCAAGCTCGATCCCCCGATGCTAACAACTCCAGCTTTACGTAAAGAGAATCCATCAGTAGAAACAGTATAGATGGTATCCCTTTTTCTTGTAAGCTGCAATTTGCGACTGAATAAAAAAAGCATAGCAATTTGTCAATATAATGATCAATAAATAATGGTCAATAAATAAGCAAGCAAAAAGTATGCTGATACATTTAAATCTAAAAAAACGAGAGAAACAAAAGGATAAACTAAAACTATGATTAACAAGGTACTAGGTACAGGTTACCTAATTAGTGATAGAGAACCTCTGTTGGAGTTCAACACAGACTTATTTTTGGAAAACTTGCAGTATGGGCTTCTTTTCCATGGGAAAAGGTATGGCATGACTTCCCAACAGCTCCGTGATGTAACACGTTGTTTATCCGACTGTCCACCCAGTGTCCACACTCGAGAAAATTTTGAATGTTTATGTCTCTTCCTCAGAACTGCATACGCAAATAACCTGGTTAATATTTATATAAAAAAGAAAACATAGCAACACAGAGACTGCACATTACATGCAGAAAGTCTTTGACAACAATCAAAAATACAAAAACTTTGACTTTACTAATAAGAAGTAGCTTTCTAAAATACTGATTAATATTATTCCATTTTCTCTTCAAAGTCAGGACCAGAAAATACATGTACATTGAATAACTGTAAATTATTGACAAAAAATAATGATAGAGATGCTTGCCAAAAAAAAGGAAAACAGAAGACAAAAAGATAATAAACACATGCATGGGCCAAAAAAAAAAGAAGCATTCTCCTGAATAGAGGAAATATTGAAACCTAAGCACATACTACCTCCAATTTCTAGTCCCTTTTTCATGCACATATAGGATATCCACAAACTGAAAGAGAGATGTTGACTAGTGATTCTGAGATTCCAGATAGCATGAAACTGAGATATTTCTGAGGCCATATGAGATGAGCAAATAAGCTTCCTGAGCCATGAACATGAAACTTACGATTGAACTCAATCCAAGGGTCACATGCATCCATTTCTCTCCCACACACTGTGAATAGCCACCTCTCTGATTCAATAAACAATCAATCTATCTTTTCTACTGGCTTAATCCTTGACCATTGCTCTATCCCTACTCCTAGCCACTCCAATGATGTATTTCCTATTACTTCTAACTGGCGCACTCATCAATCTCTGTTATGGAATCCAAAATAGCTCATCTTCAGCTGCACTCCCTTGAAATTAACCTACGTTTTCATGAACAAACTCTTTTTTTCTTCCTTTTTTTTTTGTATGTTTGAATGCAGTTTGAAAAGAAATATTTTGACTATTGCCTAAATGGTGAAATTTTTAAAGGGAAATACAGCCTATTTGCAGATTAACACATTTGCACTTCATATATGATAAAACCTCTAAAGACTCGTCAAAATAATTAAAAGAAGAACAAGAAACAGAAAATTGGAAGAAAAGAAAAAGAAAAGCAGATGAACAAGGACCACTTGTAGATTAAAAAACGATGGCAACTGAGACATTACAGTCTACAGTATAGCATCACATTCTAGATTGCAAAGTAATGCTATCTGAGGATCAAAGGCATGGAAATTTATATCTAAGGGTATTTAACACATCATGTAATTAACGAGTGCCTAAAACATAGGAACTTATAACTTCTAAAAAATGTTCTTAAAGACATAATATGCATCAAAGAAACGAGCATCTCTTCCATAGTAGAGAATTATGAATTAGAAGTTCCTGTTGCTCTGCATAAGACCTCACAACTGAGGTGCCATATGTCCATTCTGATTCTATCCAGTTCTTTTAAAATGACAGAAAATTTCATGAGATTAGCTCAGAAACTATACACAGTCGTATTATTCACTTGAATAAATTGCATCCAACCTTGTATGGGGTTTTCTCCAGGAGAAAGGGCAGAAAATATGCACAGCACAGATGAAAATATTCATAAAGCTTGAAATTTTGTACTATTGACGAAAGAAATGAATTCACATCATGAACCCATGATACAATTCTAAATAATAACGGCGATGATAATAAAGTATTAAAAGAACACAAACCTCTATCTAGTCTCTTCCTAAATGGATCAGTTCTGCAGCATTCCAGGGAGAAAACATTGGAAGCATCTTGACCATCAGAATTTGAATTATGAACAGGGGCTGTTCCATCTTGCTTGTGCTGACTGTCTGAAGATGATGCATTCAAGATCAGCTGATTCTTTTTCCGCATATAGTAATGACCTGTAGAAGTAGATAATTTCTCAGTCTTCTCCATCTGATGCGTAGATGAATCACCGAAATCAGATTGTGGAGCAGCAACCAGTTGATTGGATTTGTGTTTCACGTATGACATTCTCTTTTTTGTCAAGGGTTCAGACTTCATACCATTCGCAATGCTCAGATTGTGCACGCTATCAGATAGCATGTCAAACTTTTGACCTTCATCTGGTTTTGCTTCAGCTTCTACACTTGGTTCAGATACTGGATCTTCTGACAGAAGTTGATGAGATTCCTTTTGAGTATCTAGAGTGTAACTAGGAACTTTGAAACCAAGAGACAAAGGAGGAGTCTTGGGCCTTTCAAGAGTAGGATTTAAACAAGCTTTGCGGTTTGAAATATTATCCATACTCCCAAAGGTCATGCTCCTCTCTGCTAAATGACTCTTTCTACTTGATGCATCAAATCGATGAGGTAGAATGGGAGAAGAGGCTACAGTAACTGGTTTCCTGATAAGCTTGAAGCCTTTACGAACATAAGAAGAATTGGGAACCCTTCCAAGCTTCTTTGGTGACTGTTTCTTTGCTGACTGTTTATCTATACCACCCATGTTTTGCAAATTTCCATGTATAGGCAAAGCAGAAGAAGAAGGGGCATCTATTCGGTGCCACGTTTTGTTTCTTACACTCCGACTTGAACGAGCAGTTTCTTTCGATGGCCCTGTTGAACTCAACTGATTTGTGAAAACTCTTGGAACTCCAGAACTCAAAATGAACTTTGTACTTGTAGTTACTCCTGTTAGCTTCACATCTGCATTTATGCATTTCTTTGGCTCGTGTGATTCTACGAACTGTGCTTTATCAGATGTACTGTCCTGTTCAGCATCCAATTCCAATAATTTCTTCGAGAATACTAATGAATCGTCATTAACGATAGGTTTGTCATCTTGCTTATTAGCAATGATATTGTTGCCACTGCAGCAAATACTATCAGATAATTGTGGATTATACTGCTCTTCCATGGTGAAAGTTGATGCATGTTGAGCTCTCTTAGCGTCTATCAAAGCGCAGTTTTCAGAAGGACTTAAAGGTAATAGTTGCTCCACTCTTTCAGTCATTACAACATTCACAGACCTTTCTTCCAAAAATGGTGTATTATCAGACACAGAGGGAGCCCTACTCAACCTGAGATCATTATCTTCTGCAATAGTGGCACCACTAGGTGGATTCTTATCCTGAACCAAGCTAGAAGCATCGGAAGGCCTAACCTCACTATTTTCGTTCATTTGTTCAGCGAGAATTTCAAGTTCGTTACTGACTGAAGATACCTCTAACTGATGTTGTTTATCTATTTCCTCTCTTTTCCTTTTGACATTCTCATCATAGGGAGAACAGAAAATGGGAGATGTCACTATTGGCATAGTGATTTCTGGCAGAGTTTGCGCATCACCAGCCAATCTAAATGAAGAACACTCAGTAAAAGAGGATATACCAAGCTTAGCATCAGATTCTGAGGCATTACCAGCATCTGTTTCTTTTCTACAATCCCCAGCATTAAGTTCCTCAGCCGAAATAGATTTAGATGGTGACCTTATATCAGTCACCATCTCAGGAGAACTGTCTGAACTGATATCAATTACAACCCTAGTACCAGAAACAACAGGACAAGTAGAGTCTGGAACAGTGCTCTCGACGGGCGTGATGGCTTCTTCTTTAACAGTGTCATTAGCAATGTTATTCCACTTCAAATTAAAATCTTTAGAAGACTGTTCTATAGAAGTATTCTCAACTGATGATGTTGTCACTATTGATTCCTGAACTAAATTAACATCTTTACCACACAGCTCCATGGGATAATTCACGCTTGTTGTTCTTTCAACCATTGAAGCCTGAAGACAACAACCATCTTTCACAGATTGTTTTGATGCAGTTTTCTCACTTGCTATAAGCATTGGCCCTGGAACAAAATTTGCATACGTACTGGGTCTAACTGCTATGCTAGTCTCAATTGATGACGTTACTATCATTGGCCCATGAACTGAAGTATCATCCTTAGCATATTGTTCTGCGGCACAATTTTCATTGGTTGGTGCTACTTCCATTGGCCAGTAAACAAATTTATCTATACTAGATTGTTGTGGGGCACTATTCTCAACTGATGTTGTTATAACCGCTAACCCTGGTTGAACAAGCTGTGAATTCGTACAGTCAGTAGACTTGCTATCACTAACTTTATCTTCTTGCCTACAATCCTCACTGACGTTCTTTATCATCGCTTTTGCAGGTTTTTTTGCTACAGCCCTCTTGACTGATGCCACTTTTGCTACTTTCTTAGATAAAGTCTGAGATCTAGCACTACCTGCAGGCTTACAAGAAGAACCAATGAACTTCTTTGATCCATCACTCGCAGGCTTGCTAGAAGAACTAATAGCCTTCTTTGATGCGTCTCCTACAAGTTTTGCCTTCTTTAATCCATTTGTAGCAGACTTAATCACATCTCTTGCACATTTCCCAGAAGAACTAATTTTCTTCTTTGATTTATCACTCGCAGGCTTGCTCGAAGAAGCCTTTACAATTTTTGAACCTTCCACACTGTTAGAAACTTGAGACCTACTCGATACTAGATTATTAGGCACTCCATCCCCTGTCCTAGAAACTATCAAACTTGAAATAATAGGAGTCCTATCCTTGTCTACCTTTTTCATCTTCATCCTATTTTTTGGGGTTAGCAATCTAGGACTTGTTCCCTCAACACTCGGCTGTGGTTCTGGGCTTGAGGGCGCCACAACCTTAGCCACCAAAGCATTAGACTTATATGAAAGATCGATCGAATCAATTTCCGGTTGGCTCTCCTCTAAAAACCCTAAATTGGAGAATTCGGAAGGCGGCGAGGGCTTCTCCTCTATCCTATTCCAGACAGAAATCCCGCTTTGTATCCTCCCCAAGGCACTAGGTTTTTGACCATTAAATCTTTTCGAAGAACCCCGTTCATTATTGTACTGAGAGCTCCCCTGATTAAACTTCCATCTCTTCCCCTTGTTCCCCAAGTAACGATTCTCTTTAGACCCACCATCCTCACCAAAGTCTTTCCCTGTAATAACCCACTTCCTTTTCCCTTTGCTCCCCGCATAGTGATTCACTTTCAAACCTTCTTCATTGTATCTATTGCCTTGAAATCCAATCTCAGAAGCATTCACTTCCATCGAATTACCCCTCCCAACATCATACGACCTTACAACTGGCGCCATCGTCACCGGCACTGCCATTCGTCTGTCAAAACTCGAAGATTCTCTAACCCTAGGGGACAAATCCTCCTCCAAGATCCCATCTTCCCTCATCCTAAGCCTAATCTGCTGATGTTGCTGCCTCGGCTGTGTCCTGTCACTAAACTCCCCATCCAAGCTACCATCTTCCCTCATCCTATACGCCCTCCCCTCCAAATCTCGCCGATCCCAATCGAAGTGGTCTGAATCAAGCCTCGGCCGCTCCTCATACTCGAAAGCCCTAATTTTTCTCGGTTCAGCGCCGCCCGTCCAAGGCTCGTAGGAAGGAGGAGGGCCGTGGTGGGGCCCAGCCGGGCGAAATAGGGACCTCTGGTATCCATTGATGGGAGAAGATCGAGAATTGAGGAAGAAGATGATGATGGAGATCCGGAATTTTTTTTTTCTTTTTAATATTAGGGTTCAGATTTGATATTTCCGTTTATAGCTTATTTATTGTATGAGAAATTGAGAAGGCGTGGACTACGGCGTTGAAGATGCGCACGGAGTCGAGAAGGAAACGCTCGCCGCAATTTGGTCCTGATATACGTGGGCCCTGGGCCTACAGCCCAGTGAAGGTGGTACGCTCCGCAACTTTAGATACATTTCTCGCACGGAAATTTTATGGGAAAGCCTATTTTCCAGATAATTATAAAACAAATTCAGATTTATTTCTGAAGGTCAATTTCGAATATCCTGATCCGCGTTTTATAAATTTTGAATACCAGCACCAAGATAAGTTAACCAAAAGGTGAACCTGCGTCCAGCGCCTCCATTTTCGAGAGAGAGAGAAGAAGATGAAAATACAATGGGATGTTGAGCCTGACGCATTCACTTACAACATGGCGCTCTATGCAAACAAGGGCCGATGTATAATGCTATCTAAGATTTACTTTTTGCAATACCTATACTTGTATTATCTTTGGTCATTCTACTCGAGGACAATGGAAAGAAGCTATGAGCACTACAACAAAAGCTGTATGTGTCCACATTTAATTTATGACACATATAAAAGTGTCGTTTTATTTGTAAAAGATTAAACAATAGTAACACAAATAAAAAAGTATAGCCTGACGGTGCCCGACACAACTGTCAACATCGGCCTCCTCTACTTCCTCTTACTCGACACAATCCCTTTGAGTTCCTACAACAGTCTTTTACCGCACTCCGCTTAAAGCTAGGTTTTATGCCGACTCCGACGACGGAGGAGCAGGAGGACGAGTCATCTCCTTCGCCGATGTTTGCGCCTTGGGATTTATCGCCAGCCAGGATTATTTTTTCGCCCAGAGCAAAAAAAATTCCTGGCTACGCCACTGCTCGTAGCCCGTCACAATTCTAGAGTTTCAGTCCTACTAAAATGGTATGCAAAGCAACCCGGTTTTAGGTCTAATTAGGGACGTATTTGAAAGTATCATATCATATCATAATTTTTTTAGTACAAGTTTGGGAAAATCTTTTCATGGTCAATATCATCCTTAGTTTTTTTAAATACTAGGCTTTAGACACGTGCATTTGCACGTGGTTAAATATCATGATTAAGTATTTTTGGCTTGTTTTCTAATTAAAATTTGTTTCTCAGTTCCACTTTAATAGTTTATGATCACTTTTGTCTCTAAAGTTTAATATTGTGATTAGCTATTTTCTTTGATGTTTGTTTAAATGGGCTACACCCAATTTAAATTTTCATGTTAATATTTGAATTGATAAAAAACAAATATAATTTGAAGCAAATTTGAATTTTTATATTATTTTGGCTTACAAACTAAGCTTTATTTGAGAAAGTATAGCATTGCAAAGTAAAAAAATATTAAAAGAGTGTTATACAAGGAAGGTGAATATTTAAAACCAAGAAGGTAAAATAATTGCTTGAAAATATGCTAAAATAATACAAAAAAATTATAAAGTTTGTTCCTAACCATTGATAGCTTTCATAAAAAATTATAAATTAAAGATTAATGCTAACTCTAGTATACTTTCATATGATAAAAGTATCTGCACAAGCATATAAAGGTACTGAAAAAAGCTCATGAAACTCTCATCTAAAGATTTCTAAATTCACTCAAAATAATTAAACTATTTTATAAAATATTCAAAAATATTATATTTTATTTCTTTTATTTTATTTTTTTACTGAGCTAATATCAATCATTTCTCACATTTATCTTTTTCCCGAGCAATTCTATAATAGTATATTCATCATCTACTCGATTGTGACATCAGGCTAGAGTTGTATTTTTTGTGTTGTTATCATTCATGGGCTCGTTAATCATGGGCTCGTTAATCTTTTATCTTGTTGTTTAACTTCACAAAGAAGTTAAATATATTTTCGATATTCAACACAAACTTCTTGACATACAAACTTTGATTTTTTTTCAATGAGAATAAATATTAATTTCATATATATAAAATTCCTTGTGTTCTTAATTTATTACTTAAATAAGATTAGGAGCTAACTCTTTTTTTCTATAATAAATTCTTCTGATGTGTATCCAATAAGAGTTTTTGTTACGTTAATAAGATTACATTTGCTCTATCCCTATTATTTTTCACAAAAATCTAAACTAAATACCTGTAGTTTTTATTACCAATTTGCCTTAGATTATAATATTAATATTTAATCTTTTTAGTATTTGAAGAACAAAGTATGAAATTTATGAATGTTTACTAATTTTTCTTACATCTTCCACGGAGAATTCTTCTTTGATTAGAATAAAGTTATTAAATTATTCTTCAATGTAACTCAGTTGGTATTTCTTTAATAGACATACCTTATGTTAATACCAATTCAAATGATTCATAGACGTTTTCCGAATTTTAGATTTATTTCTGTCACTTTCTCATTTGCAATAGAAATAATTTGATTCTTTTGAATGATATATCTGAACATTCTTATGGTTTCTCTATATGTAATTCATTATATTCTTTTACCCTATAAATATTATTAACATCATATATTAATATTTCTAAATTATAATTAATTAATGCTAAGCTATTATATTATATTATTTTATCATTTTTATGGATTTAAACATCTATCAATTAATGTTACTAATATGTTTTGCTGCTCTAACTTATTAGTAAAATTTTATACAGTTGCTTTAATTTATATGGTGACGATAATTTTTAAACTATAATATTTTTTAAATTTTTATTTCTTAATCGGATATTTTTAATATATATATATATATATATATATATATATATATTAATGAAAGAATATCTAACAATTACACTTTTCTTTGCCAATTTCTAAAATTTTAGCCCTTTTTGTGGTTTGGAACTTTAAGGGTGTGATTTGTAATTTTCAAAACTTTAGGAGTGTTTTTTAAAAAGTACTTTTAAGTTTGGTAGTTGTAACTTCTTTGTTTCATGTGTCGGTGGTAATTTTTAAATATCATGATATTTCTTACAACTCTAAATTTTTGAGGCTGTTTTTTACAATTGTTAAAACTATATATTAATTTTTAAAAAATTAAAATTTTAGCGGTCTATCAATAGTTTTCAGATTTGATGTGTATTGGTTATATATCTTAAAATTTTAGAGTTTTTTATAATTTTTAAATTTTAAAAGAGTTTTTCCTACAACGTTTGTAACTTTGAGGTTAATTTCAGTAAATTTTAAATTATTAGGTGCATGAGGGTAATCTCTTGAATTAATTTTTTGTTATTTGTAAGTTTTTAAAAAAATTATAATTTTAGAGTTGTTTTTTATAATTTGAACTTTTGAGGGAATTTTTATAATTTTTGGGATATTGAGTGTGTTAATTGAAAATTTTAGATTTTTCAGAGGCTGCTGTTAATTTCTTAATTTCATGTTTGTTGTTTTAAATTTTAAAATGTCAGACATTTTCATAAGCATTATGGTATCCCTTGAATTCATCTATATTGTTTGTAAGTCTTGAAATTTTAGAATTTTAGGTGGTTGTTTGTAATTTAAACTTTTGAGCGTGTTTCTATAATTTTTGAGATAATAAGATATTATCCACAAATTTTAAATTCTTCGATGTTACTTTTTTGATTTCATGTTTGTTATTTTAAGTTTTGATACGTCGGGTTAGTTTTTATAAATTTAAACTTTTCAGGGTATTTTATGCAATTTTAAAACTTTTTAGGTTAATTTGCAATACTTTATGTATTATAGTACGTTAACTCGTATAATTTCTTAATCTTTTGTAAAACCCCGAAAAATTTGAATATAGTGTGATAAATAATTATAAATATGTTATATGGTAAAAAAATAATGTATTTTGATGTTTGAGTATGATAGAAATTGATTTGAGATCAACTCAATGTATATTTGTGAATATATGAGTGTAAATACACAAAACATGCACAAAGGCAAATAGTGATAATCTGAGAATTTTGACCAGTTGAGAGTTTCTATGTTTTTCATACTAATTCAGTTAGAATCTGGAAGAGTTTATAAGACCAAAGTTATAGGTCTCTTCAATAGCTTTCCAACGAATCTTAAATCACCTCATTCCGAGATCGTATGAGAAAGTTACAATCTTTTTACCGAACCCCAGTCTGAGCATGGCCCAGAACTCTGAGCAGTCGACCGCCGTGGTCGCTGCGGTCGACCGCTCAGCGTACAGATGCCAGTTCAGTTCTGTTTCGGGTTGGTTTTGTTTATACCAAACCCGGTTGTTACCCTACTTATATATACTCGTTTTGAAGCCCTCAGAACCCTCTTTGGAACCCTAATAGCCTCAGCCTCCTCCTCTCCCTTCCTCAAACCCTAGTTTGCATTTTTGAAGATTTGGGAGGAGCTTCGAAGGATTTTCAGCGGATTTTTCTTGGTGTTTCAACAAAGGGGATCATTCTCCTACAGATCTAGGAGCTCAGAGGCGAGTAACATCTCGCCCAACTTCACCCTTTTCGTTTTTATGCTTAAATTGGGATTTAATCCGATTTTATTGAGCCTAAATCGTATTTTTATGTAGATAAAGTAGATCTTTATGGCGTAAGATGTGAGAATCATATATTTCAGTTTTAAAAGTTCACTAATGATTTTTAATTGAATGAGATTTTGATCTGAAATGTTTTTATGAAGGTTTAAATCTATTATTACTGTTTAAGAACTTTTAAAATCATGTTGATTAAAGTTTGGGATTTTTGGTAATGAGGTTTTAACTATTTAAACTTATTGTTTACTGCCATATATCACTATTGAAATGTTTAAATTAGGTGGGTATAGAAATTCCCAAATTGTTAATGAGTTTCGAAGCTGACAGAAACCCAGACTGGGATTCTGTATGCTTGGCGGTCGACCGCAGCGGACTCAGCGGTCGACCGTCACGAGATTTTGGCTAGCA